GTCATGTCTTCTGTCCGTCCGACACGAAGATTGCATAATTCTTCAAACGTAGATGCGTTCCCTAGTCCAGCTGTTGAGCTAACGTTAAATTCCATTGAGATAAACTATTGGTTCGTCAGACACTTTGATCGCTGCTAGGGAGATCGCCTGGGTTAGCTGTTCTGTTACCTCATTGTTTCACTTTGTAAAGGTTTCTGTTGGGTTAGTGTACTTTCTTTGCTTTTAGACGGAATTCTGGACTCACCAAATGCACCTCGTCACAGTCTCTTTGCCAATTTGTACACTTGCGTGGATAATTAATTGCTTATCGGCAAAAGTTGCAAATAAAGTGGAAATATTTCTTTGATAATTTGTGCAGCTACTTGTAATTATGGCAGGCAGACCATCGGCTCCGACACAGATAAGCAATAATATTCTACAAGTTGATCAACTGGCAGCTGTAGATGTCAGACCTGATGATTTATATAGAATAATGAACGATAAACTACAGTGGTTGCAATGGCTTGCTATGCACAGAATAATACGGAACACAGTAGACTGTTCGTCTTGCAACCGTCGGATGTCATTAGTGTCAAGGCTAGAATATTCCGATAGATTCTCGTGGCGATGTCGTCGCTGTAATACTCGTTGCAGTGTACGGACGGGTTCGTTCTTTGCTAATTGTGAACTCCCAACTGAAAGAATTGTGATGGTAATGTTTTACTGGTTGTTCGAAGTGAAGCTGAAACATGTGATGTTTTTTGAGAGATTGACAAGCTGTGATACTATAGTCAACTATAACAATTATTAGCAACCCTCAGTTGGGAGGATTTGATGCTAACGGACAGTCAGTAGTTGTTGAAGTTGACGAGAGCTATTTTTTCCACCGCAAGTACCATTGTGGTTACTTTCGTCGTGGTCAATGAGTAGTTATGCTAGTTGAACGTAGTAGTGGTCGTTGCTGGTTGAAAGTTGTTCATAGGCGAGATGCGACAACATTGGAACGCATCATAAGTGAGCATGTGTTACCAGGAACGACAATTGTCACCGATGCCTGGCCAGGCTACAACAACGTTGGTCAACTCAACAATGGCGTCTATGAACATCTCGTTGTTGTTCATGCTATTAATTTTGTTAAACGTGTACACGGAGACATCCACACCCAAACAATTGAAGGGCTGTGGATGCAAGTCAAAAGGAAACAGCGTTTCCAAGGCGGCACTAGTCGTGCATTGTTTAATACATATTTAGCCGAATTTCAGTGGCACCACAGTCACAAAGAACATGTTTTCTGACAGTATTTACAACTGTTGTGCCACAATTTCGACATAAAACTGTCAAATATTATTGGCAGAGTTGCCACTTTTCTTTGACGGAAAGTGTATAGTATTTTTTAAAAATGTTTCTGCATTTCCTTCTTTTCGTTTGTCATTTCATTTTCTCAGTGACCACACTAGCAGGTGGTACACACTTCATTGGCCCTGTTAGGGTATTTTTTGGCTGCCACAATAAGGGGACGCAGTTAGGAGGAGAGCAGTAATTAAATATTAGTAAATTCATAAACATAAAACATACGGTTTGTTAACAAAAATTAGTAAAATTAAATAAAAAACATTTCCACTTACCACCATGGCACTCAAGGAAAACTGGTTAAAATATATCCAAAATGAATATGAACCACTTAAAAATGTAAAAGTACAATATAAACTCAATCTTTGCGTTAGATTTTGTTCCAGAGAATCTTTTGAAGCATCATAACAGAGCATTATTATTTGGTAAAGAAAACTGACTCACAAAACAATAATTATCTCCACACAAAACAAAGTTTACATAACACTCGATTTGCCTGTCATTGTGTAGCTATGTTCCTAAATATTAAGGGGAATAGCACTAGAACTAACTGAAACTGAAGAAAATCAACTTTTCACTGACGTTTATTCAATTTGTGCCAGCTGACTTTGCTATCGTTGTACCCTTCGCGTGAGGTACACATTAGTCTGACTCTATAAATGACTGAAACATGTCTAATTCGCAACATTATCTATCTAACTTCGGATAAATCTAATGAACATGTTCTTCATTTGAATTTGAGGCTTCTAAAGCCGTAAATCATGTTGGCATGCATGTAGAATACTGCTTGGCATCTTTTTTTTTCAAACACTTAGTAACTTGGCAAACTTTGCAAATATACTGACTTTGGCTTTCAAACCACATTTTTGAATGAGCAAGCCTGATATCAGACACAAAGAACTCGAAAGGAAGTTGAAATTGAGAAGTCCGCATTTTATTACCGGTCAGTGGTAGATTAAAAACCGTCACTTGTCACGCATTGATTGGGCCACCCGGCTATAACAAATTAGCGTGTGATGCATTCCCTGGGACTCAAAGATAACACACATTTTAGCGTGTACTAAAAATGCCACAGCATCACAACTATTTAACGTAAACATATCATATTTTGTATTTTTGCTCCAAATTAAACAGAACACATTTCAAGAAAAAAATTGTGGTTTTTTGAGGTTTGTTTTACATCATCATCATGTGCCTGTAGATTGGTGCAAAAAAGGTAACTGGAAAATCTTTTTATCTGACAACAATATAGACTAATAAAAATACCATAACTTCACAACCATTCAACATCCACTTATCACTTTTTGTATTTTTGCACCAAATTAAATGGAGAATACATTGCAAGAAACGAAAATGGGTTTATATTGTTTGACATCGTCATCATGTGCTGTAGATATGATGAAAAAAGGCAACGCACAAATCTTTTGTCTGACAATAATATAGACTAGCAAAATTATCACATTTTACAGCCAAGATGTGTCAGTAGTATGGTACAGTTCATAGCATCCTTCAGTACAAAGTGGTACCTGAGATTCCCTACACCAGTAACTTTTTATGATTCCTTTGCGGTCCTTTTTATTTCTGGATTCTTGCATTTATCTTTTTCTACACATACTGTGCACTTTCTTCTGTAAATGGGGGTACTTCAGGAAAACCTTGCAAATCACAATGCCAGTCATCAACCAGTTGAGGTTGTGGCAAATCTTCCTCGGACTTGTCAAAAAGATGATGAAGTTTCTGCATCAAAAGCGGCAGTGATATATTCATCATGTACAAGTACAGACACAATATCTTCAAAATCTACAGGCTTTGAATGAATGTTTTCACTAGAACTATAAGTATCGGAAACTGTTGCACTAGTGTTTGCAACAGGAGGTTTAACTGCCGGTTGAGTCTTAGTTAGACTTGACTTTGAAGCAACATGCCGATGTTTCATTGTCGATGATGTTTGGACAATTCATAACAATAATAACATGGATCGTCAGCTCAGTCTCCCCTGCAACCCATCTCTAATTCACCATAGATGTTCCTAGGGACTCTTTCACCCTCCAAGTATGTTCTAGCCTGTGAAGACTGAGCATTGAGAAAAGCAGTGTGAAACCTACTTTTATCCAATGTTTCAGTGTTTGTGAACTTGCTTGTCTTGCTACACCTAAAGCCAAGTATTCTTCATAGTCCTTACTTGTGAAAGCCATTTAGCTGTTTCTCCTGGTAGGAATAAAAGTCTACCAAGCATTACTACCGTAAAGAAGAAGAGTGCTGAGAACCCAAGTTTGATAGAATATGATTTCTGAAGAATAATGATGATCAGATCTATTCAGTATTGCTAATAAATAGCCAAAATATGAGACCAGTATGAATAATCATGATCTTATTATAAGTGTTTGCTCTTAAATGCAATTGTCTTGTTATGGGTTTATCTGCACCTTGTGTGTGTGAGTGTGTGTGTGACCAACACATCTAATTTAGAAAATTCCTTTGCTGGTCACATTTTACAACATGCTTTGTTTTCAGGGGCAGTGAGTCTGTCTCATCCATTGGGGTCTTGGAACCAACATAGAGATCCATGATCTTAAAAGACAATAAACCCTATATTAACTCCTTGTGGTTCGGGTTCACGTCCAGGGGTAGGCAGAAAAGCCTTAATCCTCCCAGATTTACGTTATCTGTCATTGAATCAAGGCCGAAGGGTTCCAATATCCATAGTACATGGTTTCTGTATACTTAAAAGTTTATTTTTTAAAGCCCTATTTATAACCCAGAAGGGCACAATTAGGCACACTCCTGCAATTGATACTTTACTTCAGCACCACAAGTTACAAGAGAATCAAGATGATATGTATTGAGAACCCAGAAGGGGGTTAAACAGGATAGTTTTGGTACAATAACTACCAAATAATTGTTGCTACTGCCATAAATGGGAGTCGCTATGGCAAAGCGGCTAGATGCTCGTCGTGGCTCGGAAGGTTGTGGGTTCGCTCCCTGGTGCAGCCGGACCTTTTTCAAAAATGACCTTGGCTCCCAGGTCGACCCAGCCTTGAGTGGGTACTGGGTGCAGTCCCAGGAAGTAAAGGCGGCAGCCGTGATGCTGACCATATCGCCCCTCTTGTGCCGATTGGTCTATAAAATATAGGTCTAGCCCTATATGCCCTATACGCCTAAAGGCATTGAAAAGGGTCCTTTACTTTACTTACTGTCATAAATAGAAATATTGATGTCTTTTTTGGCAGTTGGCTTACAGCTAGGTTGCAGTATCTTGGCTTTTGGCGCCTAACAATTCCAATTTCAGCAAACTCCTAATTCGCCTGGCAGCCTATGGGCAGAATCAGGCATGTAGAGGCCTAGCAAGTGGCCCCTGGGTCAGTGCCAAGTTGTATTGCATTAATGATATTTCTATGCTGGGGCTCTGGCTTCTAGCCCATGATGATCCCACATTTTCAACATTTTGGCTCCTGTCACCTTAATTAAATAGCTCTGCCCTAATTAGTTACCTCTTACGACACACTTGTAAAGGGAACAGTGGGCCAGTTGTTTTTTTTTTTTATTTTAACCAATGTGAGGCCGGAACCCACATAGGGAACTGATGTCTGTTCCAGCAGTGATCTGTTATCTGAGACCACAGTATTTTTGCTTAACTTGACCTGTTCTAATTTTCAGAGAAATTCATGAAAATGGCTATATTTGGATCTCGTCCAGCTAGAACACAATCACAGACACTACTGAGCATAAAATTGCCAGTAACATTCACAGTATTATTGTTTGTCTGGTCATTGACAACGTTCCAGTGTGGCAGCTGCAGTCAGAGTTCTGAAGATTTGGATTATGATGAGGACCTCAGTGTGGGTAGCACAGACACAAATGTGTCCAACCCCTGTGAGCTTGTATACAAGGAGTACTTGAATGTGATTGATAACTTCACACATTGTGAGCTCCAGCATGCAAGACCTTTCCAGTTGTGTCTCAGCTGTGCAGAACAGTTTGAGCAGACGAAGGCCATGTTCTGGAATCTTACTGTAAGTATGTGTATGTTTGTGTATATGAGTGTATGTATGTATATATGATTGTCTGTGTGTGCATGATTGTTTGTATGCATATGTTGTACATGCACACATATAGGTAGCTTGTTCATTGTTGTATGTAACTTAAGCTTGTATTTTTGTTGTGTATAACTGTAGCGTGTACAGTGTTGTGTGCAACTTTAGCGTGTTCATTGTTGTATGTAACCTTAGCTTCTACACTGTCTGTTACTTTAGCTTGTGCCTTGTATTTAACTTTAGCTTGTACATTGTTGCTGGTGACTTTAGCGTGTACATTGTTGTATGTAACTTTAGCTTGTACATTGTTGCCGGTGACTAGCTTGTACATTGTTGTACGTAACTTAAGCTTGTACATTGTCAATTGTAACTTTAGCTTATACATTGATGTGTGTAACTTAAATAGTAACAATATTTTCACTCCATTTTTCAGGAAGAACCGAAGCATGTGGAGTGTAAAAACAAATACTTGCAGTCGGACAAAGTTCAAATCATTCCTACCATGCAGTCCAATATGGAGGACATTTGGAATAAAGCACATTGTCAGAGTATGTTTATTGTGTAATATAAAATAAACCCAGTATACAGACTGTTTTATTATCGACTGTTGACAGATTGTCTCATTAGCACACCCCCCCACCCCCACCCCACCCCCTCCATCTGCGCGCACCTACACAACAAAAACAGTAAATACAGGCATTGATTCCGGTTGCAGTTGGCAGTCAGATTATGTCACCGTTGTTGATTGTTTATGTAGATAATGTGTTCAAGTATGTCATGATTGTTGGTTGTTCGCGTAAAAAATGAATGTCAGTGTAAGTCCTGATTGTTGGTTTTTCATGTAGATATTTATGTAAATCAATTTATGTCATAATTGTTGGTTGTTCACATTGATATATGTGTCAGTGTGTGTCATAATTGTTGGTTGTTCACATTGATATATGTGTCAGTGTGTTATAATTGTTGGTTGTTCACATTGATATATGTGTCAGTGTGTGTCATGACTGTTGGTTGTTCACAGAGATATATATGTCAGTGTTTAAATTAATTGTCGTTTTATGTAGATTTCTGAATCAGTGTATGTCATGATTGTTGGTTGTCACGTAGGTGTATATGTCATGATTGAGCTTTGAATGTATGGCTGACCACAGAGAAGACTTGCCTGGAGAACAAACTGTTTATATCTCCTACTAGATTGCTATATGTACAAGCCTGACGGACTGGGGGCAGGAACAATTGTCAACAGGACTGATGTGGCTAGGTTCATAGAGCTGTACCAGAACTTGACAGACTGTCTCAATGCTACGGTCAGTCAGTTTTATTGTCATGTTTGGGATCATATTGTTGTTGTTGTTCTTCTTCTTTGTGTTCACCAGTTGTAAACTCTGGCAGAAGGTTCTGGTTGTTCATTGACTTTTGGACTGCAGTCCTGTTCCAGAACCTGAGTGTTGCGTGTGCATCCATTTTACAGATCTGACTATTTGTATGCAGAGTGCTGGTTCCTTGTCTCTCAGGCAGACACACTCTGACTTCGAAGGAAGCTCCCAATTAGTCAACTCTTACAACATGCTTTTGGGTAGGCAGTGGGTCTATTCTTGTTTTCCCTATAATAGAACCCACACGGGGAATCATATTGTTGTTGCTAGGATCACGTTATCATTGCTGGGTTCATGTTGTCATGCTGTGATTATGTTGTATGTTACCGGTGCTGGTACCATGTTGTCAATGCTTGGGTTATGTTGTCGGTGCTAGGACCATGTTGTTGATGCATGGATTATGTTGTCGGTGCTGGGGTGATGTTGTCAATGCTTGGGTTGTTGGTGATAGAACTATGTTGTCGATGCTTAGGTTATGTTGTCGGTACCAGGATCATGTTGTCAGTGCTGATATTGTGTTGTCAGGGTTGGAATTGTGTTGTCATTGTGTCATTACTGGAATCATGTTGTTAGTGTCAGGATCTTATTGTTGTGGTTGTTTTATCAGTTTTTACTGGTCATCCTTTATATTAAACAATATTATATTGTGTAAGAATGTGGAGTGAGGAGGGAATCAGGCAAGGAGGAACATATGATAGGAAGAGAACGATTATGTGTATAATAATCAACGTGCCATGGGAACACTCAGCATCTACATCTCAAGACATTTGCTGCGTGAGACAGGGCATCTATGGGTATGCCCAGTGTGCTTGTTACAAGATCAATTCTAAAATCAGTACTTATCAGGTACCGTATTTATATATTGTGCTAATCATAGACTGTTCCTCACTCTTCAAATTGGTGTGGATGTGTGTGTATGTATGCATGTGGGTAAGTATGAATGTGTGTGTTTGTGTATGCATGTAAGTATATTGTAAGCATTTGCCATCTACGCTTTTGTAATTTTACCATATACTCATTATATTTATTTTGCCAAGTGAATGTTGAGTGTCTGAAAGGGCTGAATGTGGCTTCCATTTTCTAATATGGCAGTGTGCTGTTGTGTTTTCGCTCATTAGCCATGACTTCACTTTTTATCGGGCGTATTTCACTTGGACCATGTTAAAATATTGATTCAAAAGCAGCACAGAAATGTGTCACATGCGTGCCTACTTAGTGACTCAATAAATATGCTTAATAAAATCCAGGCTGGTTTTGTCAGACGAGAGTGGATTGCAATACTTAGCACTTTGCGAATGGCTGCCTTCATCTTTGTGCCTGGTTATGCGGATGTTTAAGGGAACAAGCATGCAGATCATCTTGCTGACACTTCAGTTGCTGTGACTGGTCCAGTACAGGACAGAAGCAATAGTATCAATGCCATGTGCAGCACTAACCGCACCAAGGAGCATGCCAAAGGACATGTCCCCGTATCCCTCTCTAGGCTGATGGAAATGGTGGAACCTGGAGCTGTGAAAAATGAACTTTTCACTAAGAGGACTAGACATTTCATTAATCAACACAGAATATGTGTCGTTAGTCTTTTTAAACTCAATGAAGCTTTTGAGGAGATCGGAGCACCTTTGGATCTGTCTGGGGTGCTGTGATGATAATCCTTACTAATCACAAATCACTAAGGGCTGAATGTAACATGGGCCTCTGTACCCAATTTGCGACCCACTATAAGTTTTTCGTTCATTCCTTCACTGTTCAAAAAGTCTTAAAGTGAAGAACTATCTAGCCCTCCAGCAGTTTCCAAACTGTCTGAGCACACTGACATAATTATTTTTATTTTTATTGGACTGATTTTTTTTAAATCTAGTTTTCTGTTCAATGTCTTTGCAAGCAGAGATATTCTAAAAGTTTGGGGGATTTGTGTGGCAGGCTCCAGCTGTAATATCATTGTCTCTGTGTGTGGAGATATTCTGGAAATATAGGGCATTGTGTGGCATATTCCTTCTGAAATATGAGTGTCTTTGTGTGGAAATACTCCAGAAGTGTGGGGGTACATGTGCCAGTTCCAGCTATCATCAGTGTCTTTTTGTGTGAAGATAATCTAGATGTGTGGACAAATATATGGCTGATTAGAACTGTGGCCTTGCCATGCCAGGGTGTATTTATATATGCTCCCACTCTCTGACTTTCCATGTTTGTATTTTGTCTGCTGCAGAAGGACATGAGTGCACCTGAACACAACTTTGGAAACAGCTCAAGCAAATGTCAGACATGTAACGCCAGCTACACTCTACTCACTGCCCACTACAACAGTATGTACAGCACATACTCCGGGGATGTCTGTATGGACTTGGTAGACAGGGTATGCTCAGTAGATAAACACTTTCAACCAGTTTTATTTGTTTTCCTTATTTTATCTTTCATGATGGATCATCTGTACGGTGACTGTGCATCCCGTTTTCACCGAGACAGTCCCGTTTTTGGGTCCGCCCTAGCTGTACTGTTGATACTCAAAAGAAGAAAGCCAGTTGTCCCTCATAAGATTTCATAATTTTAGATTTTTTTTATTGGGTGCAATGCATTGGTGGAAATTTTAATAGCAGCATATTTTTACAATGCAGTTTTTGGGAGTTAATTTCTTTGTGAAAATGGATCAGATTTTAATATCATTGTCAGACAAGTAATTAACCTTTTCGCCCCGGTGACAACAAAACAAGGGAAGAAAAAAAAGGATGGGGGAGTGTAAAACTGACTTGCTTAGGATGTCCCGTTTTCAGTTCAAGATACTATGGTCATCATTGATGAATTATTTACACTTGTGACTTGTAGGGCTCCCTCATAAATCATTTATACTTGTGGATATCTATGATTAATTATAGATATTTTTAGGGATCCATAATAAATCGTTTATCCCTGTCTGGGTTCCGGGGCCTCATTTTAGGAGGAAACAATAATAGACTCACTGCCTCCCTATTAGGTATGTTGTAAATGGCAACTAATTAGGTATGTGCAAAGTTGAAGCGCATCTGCCTGAGAGAAGAGAAACCAGGGTCTGCTTACAGAAAAGCAGAACTGTAAAATGGATATGCATGCAAGATTTAAGTTCCGGAACAGGAAGTGGATGAAAAACCAGAACTTTCTGTTTTAGTGTACAGCCGGTGAACATGAAGAAGAAGAATTGTTTATACTTGTAGATCTCCAGAATTATTTATTTACACTTGTAGATCTCCAGAATTGTTGATTTATACTTGTAGATCTCCAGAATTATTTATTTACACTTGTAGATCTCCAGAATTGTTTCTGTATACTTGTAGGTCTCTAACATTAATCATTTACACTTGTAGATCTCCAGAATTGTTCCTGTATACTTGTAGGTCTCTAACATTAATCATTTACACTTGTAGATCTCCAGAATTGTTTCTGTATACTTGTAGGTCTCTAACATTAATCATTTACACTTGTAGATCTCCAGAATTGTTTCTGTATACTTGTAGGTCTCTAACATTAATCATTTACACTTGTAGGTCTCTAACATTAATCATTTACACTTGTAGATCTCCAGAATTGTTCCTGTATACTTGTAGGTCTCTAACATTAATCATTTACACTTGTAGATCTCCAGAATTGTTTCTGTATACTTGTAGGTCTCTTACATTAATCATTTACACTTGTAGGTCTCTAACATTAATCATTTACACTTGTAGATCTCCAGAATTATTCATTTGCACTTGTAGATCTCCAGAATTATTCATTTACACTGGTAGATCTCCAGAATTATTCATTTACACTTGTAGATCTCCAGAATTATTCATTTATACTTGTAGATCTCCTGAATTATTCATTTATACTTGTAGATCTCCAGAATTATTCGTTTACACTTGTAGATCTCCAGAATTGTTCCTGTATACTTGTAGGTCTAGCATTAATCATTTATACTTGTAGATCTCCAGAATTGTTGATTTATACTTGTATGAATCATTTATACTCCTAGGTGTCCAGAATTATTCATTTATACTTGAAGGTCTTTGTGATGATCATTTTACTTGTAGGTCTCCAAGATGAATAATCTATAACCAGTTTGATCATAAACACAGCTGCTTCATATCTTAATGTGTAGCTTGGATAGCTAGGGGGTAGAGCAACCACCTTAAGTGTGTGTGTGTATATATATATATATATATATATTGTATTATGGAAAATAACAACAGGTAGTCTTCGCTCCAGATGGATAGAAAGCAATTGAAAGTTGCAGTTAACCTCCATCATTTGGATCTACACACCTGGGTACGTAGGAGTGAATGGCAATGAAAGAGCTGACCAGATGGGAAAAAGCATGGATAAAGCTGATATCATCAACTCTGTATGGACTGAGTCGAGGGATAATGTTGGATCTGAGCTAATATGATTTTGCATGACTGAAGTGTTGAGCTGGGTGAAGCACATCTATGCCATCCTAGAGAGGCCTGAGCACATATAGAAATGCCCAATATGCACAGACGTTGATTGTGATAACATACAATCATATGCATTTTATACGTTATCTCTTAAACAGATGAACTACACCCGTAAGCTGTGGACACTCCACTTTAGGTGTACACATCGTGAAGGAGATCATGACCTTCTACCTGTGGTTGCTATTTCCTGTATCGTGGCATGTACGCCAATCTTGTTTTACGTGTCTCTGAGAGTCACCAGCAAAGTTGGCCGGAAAAAGATATTTAAACGTAAGTCTTTAATATCTTGAGGCATTTTCTCTTTATACCTTGGAGCATAAGCTCTCAGAAATTGCACATGAGAATACCTGAATGTGTTCTCAGGTTATTAAGAATGTAGTTTTTGTTTCTTCAGTTAAAACACAGCAAGGATATTGCCCATGTTTTATCAGGGCCCAGATAAAGCACAGCAAGAATATTGCTCATTTTTTTTTTTTCCCTTGAACACCGGCTGTGAATTCCAGTGGAAGGTCAGGTAATCGTCCGCTTGGACTTTTGGCTTTCACCTGGACCTGATTTTTGCGTGTACAACCGTTTTTTTATTTCCCTGCCTCATGGGCAGCTGTACGCCGACTTCGAAGGAAGACGTCAAGCCTATTTCTAGGGTGACTGTGGCCATTGTTTTGTGTGGGTCGAGACGTTGCCTGATTTGTGTGGTGTCCACTTCGTCTCCTTTGCCGCAGGTATTGCCCCCGGAGTACCCCTTTGGGTCGGCCCCCTGTGGAACAGTTAGCCCTCAAGGGAAGGCAGGGGCAGATCTTGGGCATTCCCCGCCATCCAAGGAGGCATCCATGTATGCAGAGCCGACACATGGCGCTCTGGTTCTGGGCTCACCCAAGGAATCGTCACGTCCTGCACAAGCCTGCTTAACCTCACAACCGTATCAGGCCTCCCGCTCGACAGGGGCTGCGCCCTCTGGGGGTCAGCGGAGAGGTACATTCTTTTTTTCTTCGCACGTTAGATTTCTTTGACGAGCCGTTAGCCCGACAGATTTTACATCCTGCATCAGGCATATCGTTATCAGTTTTGTCCCAACACTCGGGCGAGTGGTGTCTTTGGGTGTGGACATTCGGTCTTTTTCAGTTCAATTCAAATTTTGAGGTCAGATTTTGATCCGTATGATCTAGTTTTGTCGGAAATTTAGGCTTAGCCATCCGATCGATGGATGGTTGCTGTTGTGGTGTACCACAGCGCGGTGACGACGACACTGAGGGTTTACCAAGGACATGAATGGCCAGCCTATGGATGGTTGCTGTTGTGGTGTACCCCAGCGCGGTGACGACGACACTGAGGGTTAACCAAGGATGTACATGAATGGCCAGCCTATGGATGGTTGCTGTTGTGGTGTACCCCAGCGCGGTGACGACGACACTGAGGGTTAACCGAGGATGTACATGAATGGCCAGCCTATGGATGGTTTCTGTTGTGGTGTACCCCAACGCGGTGACGACGACACTGAGGGTTAACAGAGGATGTGCAGTGAACAATGTTCTCTTTATTCTGCAGTCTTTTAACCAAGGGTTGTAATTTTGGCTGTACGTTTGGCAGACCTACTCATGTTCCTAATGAGTTTTGATAACAATTTTTTCACCCAAGCGTTTGGGGGCGGGCTGATGAGAGCCACAAGGACACATCACCTCTGGGGGCCGCCAAACTCCGAGATCCCCTGGCAGCTCTGTTAATGCTCATTTGAGACATTATCCGTGGCGCACGACGAGGACGTGCTGCCGGGGTCTTGCGTGAGGTTCCGTACAACCAGGATATTAAAGGACTGGCGCCCGAGTGACGTACGGAGTATCTCCTTATACACATCATGTTGGACTTAACTTCCCCTCACGCCTGTGACATAAATCACCGCGCCACATATTGCTCATGTTTTATCAGGGCCAAGAAAGGAAGCAAAGAATGATGATGTAATGTAACCTACCATTCATTTCTTAAGAGATAGCCAAGAAAGGTACTGACAACCTCGTCCTGAAGAAAATTGTAACTGCATAATTCAGCCAACCTTAAATAGATCTGCGGGGAGGCAGAGGAACTACACTTTTCCACAGTCATCCAAGAGACAGGTTCCCAACTGGGGACCTGGTCAGTGTAGATAGAATCGACATTTGCTTTATAGTCAGAGTGCAACTCTCTGAGAGGCAAGGAACCAATAGTAAAGAGTAAAGTAAAGATCCCTTTTCACGCCCTTTAGGCATATCGGGTATATGGGAAGAGCGCCCATATTTTTACAGACCATCGGCCCTAGGTGAGCAATGTGGTCAGCATTACGCCTGCCGTCATTACCTCCTCAGGACAGCCATTCTGGTACCCATTTTAGGCTGGGTCGACCTGCGACGCTCCATACCATGATAAAAATCCACGCAGCCAGCAGTGGGTTTCGATTGCTGATTATGAGTCTGACTCGCAACGCATAAGCCACGGACGCCGCAAAGAACCAATAGCTTGCGCACAAATAAGCTAGATCTGTAAAACATTTTTTTAAAAGAAAACTTGCTGCACAGTCCAACCAGTTACGAACAAGTCTCTCCCCGTGCGGATACCTGGATCTCATTTAACCTGTTTATCATAACTTGTTTGTGTTGCATCCTAGGGCATCAGCCTAACCTGTTAGTGCTCTGTCCTTCAATGTAGCACAGACCTCAGTGTCTCTCCATACTCAATGTATCCAGGAGTTGAGCAAAATATCTTTCTTTGCTTTGCAACCAGTTTCTGCACACTTGTCCCGTTTATCATAACTACCATTTAGCAGCAGCTGTTTCTTGTGTGTTTAAATTTAGTCTCTTTATCATAGCAGTCATTTGACAAGTGTTTCATGTAAATTTTTTCATTTTAGTCTCTTTATCAAAGCAAATATATAACAACAGTTATTTCATGTGTGTTTCACATTTAGCCTGTTCATCATAGCAAATACAGTGCACATCTGAGAACTGACGGGGGACCCAACCAAGAAATTGTTCTTCTGATAAGAAATTAATCTTATCCGGTTAAGATTGCAAGCAAGAAATATTGCAGGGGATAAAAAAATTGTTCTTCACAACAGAGATTCACCACATCTGAAATCGCCTTAAGTGATATAAGTGAAATGATATAAGTGACTCCTTGAACTGAAAGTACACAAGACGGAAGAGCCGTTGGAAGATCAATTTTTTTTTTTTAAGGCATACCGTGATGAGAGCAATGTTCTGCAAAGGACCTGCTACGAGATGATTTATGTATATATATGTTTTATTCATGTGTTTTACATTTAGCCTTTTTATCAAAGCAAACATTAGGCAACAGCTGTTTCATATTTAACCTCTTGTTTATCATTGATAACATTTGTATGGGTAATGTTTCCATTCCACAGAAAAACGGTTAGGGACAAGTTTGGGCACATCGAGTGACTCTGGCGATCATTCCCAGGGTGCTGGAGGTGATACTGCTGCTAGCAGACGCAGGCATACCACCACAGACTAGAAGCAGAGAGGCTCAGTTTTTTCCACATTCCACGGCATCAGGGAAGCCGAGTTGTGTTTTTTGGTGTGACAGTTGCATAGACAATTGTGAGTTGTTGTTAGAATTGTGTATTGGTCGGCCACTCTTTGTCTTTCATTGTTTTTTAAGCAGTTACCGTCTCTAGAGAGAAGCAGCTGCTGGCCGAATGGTTAGGAATACGCTTTCATTCAGGAGACCTAGCATTAAATCCTCTGTAAGGTGATGGATTTTTTCTGTCGGAGGCAAAAATAAAGTCTGATGACCACATTAGCCATGCAGCGCTAAGTCCTGCTTATTGCTGCAATAAATTTTGTGATACTCATCTCACATGCTGCTTGATGACATTGCCTCTGTCCCATTTCGGGCCAGGCATGAAACAAATCCTCAACAGACATTCACCACGTCTGCACTGTATGTCTACAGCCAGATAATCTGCTTGTTTGTTGCCTTGAACACTCACAAGACCCAGCACAGAGATAAAGGTGGATGTGCCACAGTGCTGTTGATGGGGCGATCCTGTATTTACTACATTTAGGGTGGCGTAGGACAGGATGTTACGTGCCTAAGGATTTAGGTCTGCAGAGCTTGGTCAGCAACCATGAACTGAGCAGGTCAGGATTTTTATCTTTGCCCCAACAGAAAAGAAATTCCCATCCCATATTGAGGTTCAGACCAAGTCTCCTGCCCGAGAACCAATTACTCTGACCACTTGACCAGCCACTTCTCCTCCATAGAGGCAGTTAAAAGTCAGAACTGCCTGGGTATAAGCCACTTGTTGGTGGCAGAAATTTGGTGCTGAGAGCTCGTGTTTTATCTCTATTTATTTCAGTATTATCATGCACGGCTTGCTAGACTGTTGTTTGTATCAGCCATTTCATGTATTTCTCCTTATTGCATTTCACCAGTGACTAGGCAGTCACCATTGTGTCGAATGTTCATAAGCATATTTCCATCCTCCATAAAACTGCCTGTAATTGACTGTTGCTAGTGCCACATGTATCACATTCTAGAATTTGATAATCTAACATAGCTCCACAGCTAAGATTATTCTTTACAAACATTACATTTTAGAATTTAAAAGTAAAATTTTTTTTTATGTGCCGTCTCCACAATGATGGTTGGTTACAGTACACCTGCTGCCGTTTGTGTTAATTTTAGAATTTGATAAACGTTTTATCTCAGTTTAATTGTTTTCCGCGAACATTATTTAAGTTTCTGTGATTGACTCAACTGAAGTTACTTAGGTTACTTCGTTTGAATCACTTTTTTGTGGTATCATGATTTTGTACATAAGAGGATGCAAATAACCGTAACCCTTTCACCCCAGAAACCCCTGTGGAAATAAGAACTCAGGAATTCGGGGGGGGGGGGGGGGGGAGACATTGGACACAGATCACTAAAATGTATTTAAGTAATTTTTTTTTAAAATTGGTATCAAAATAACAATAAAATTAAACGGGGTTGGCAATTAAATGAATACATTCCCTTAACCTAAAAGAAATGATTTTTCTGTGGTGACCCTGTTCACTAATTGACAACACTCCCCCTCACCATTTCTCTTTAAAAAAAATATAATCTCTACTAAATGCTGCAAATGTGCAAACCAATGCCGTTAACTAGGCCTAGTCCTAGTGGGGACTAGCCAAAGACAAAGCCATGTCATGGGCTGTACAGGGTTGTGTAACAAATGGCAAAGCTGACATTCTGTGTCTCGGGTGAAAGGGTTAACAGGAAGCTAGCAATGGGTGATATTTCTGTGGCGCAATGGGTGATATTTCTGTGGCTTAACGGCAGAGCTTTGAATTATGTCTATAATGCAATAGCCACAGAGCTTTCTTCAAGATTTGTTTTTTTTATTTGATAACAAGGTTTTCCCAGTGCCCTTCCTGTCTGACCTGAACATGTATGAGATTTATGCGGGTTGTATCGTGGCCATGTGGGCTTGACTGCTTGTTGTACTCCACATGAGCCAGATGACAGACTAATATTTGCATTTGCAGCTGTTCTGCATTTTTTAATTAATATTTTTTTTTTTTTTACAATGGACTCCACTGGATTTCTTTATATCTGTATTATCAGTTGATCTGCAAAGTATGATCCTAGTTGTATAGAATGCTCATGTGTGGATGTAAAACATAGACAATAAACAGAGAAATTGATTGCAATGAAAAAAAAAATTTGTTTTCTCAGGTAATATAAATAATAAAAATACAATATATAAACAAAATTAATTAGCAAACATGAAAAACAAGGCAGTCCTTAAAGAGGCAGATGAAAAACAATCAAAAACATTTCTTCACAGGCTTGGAATAAGAAAAGATGACAGTCTGTTGCTCAGTTGCAGAAATGTAGGAGGAAGATTAGGTTAATATGGCATGGTGTGATTTTCCAGTCTAAGTTTCAGAAACCACTTGCTAGGATTGAAAAGAAGTACTCCAATATACTCTTTTAGAAAGAGATGTAGAAGTAAAAAAAAAATATCTTCACTTATGCTTCATTTTGCTGGATTTTGGCTTTGTGACAGAGCGAGTTTTGCATGTACCTCCGATTTACTTGCTTATTTTTGTGCAGTTGATTGTTCCTTGCTGCTCGGGCAGATGCACTTTGACTTCAAGGAAGGTCCCAGTTATTCGACTCTTACAACATACTTGCGAGGAAGGCAGTGGGTCTATTCTTGTATTGGCAGCAAACATCAGCTGTAAGAATTAATAACCATTTGGGAACATTTTAGAGCATAAAGAGGGGAGTATGACAAGGATGTGTATACCACCTGACTGTTTTCATTATACAGTGGAAATATAATGAGATCTATCTTGGTGATCGCATTGATAGCGACAAGTCAGAAAGAACTATAGGAATTAATTTATACCGTGGTGGTAGAAAGTGGTAAAATAAGCCCGAGTTTGAATATTAGGAAGACATAAGTAATGGTGATTTCCAAGAAAAGAATAGTGCCTAAATGTATAATAAAAGTCAAAGGTGTTATTTTAGCTCAAGTACAGAAATTTGAGTATCTAGGCACATGGATAACATCCGATTAAAGATGTATCACAGAGATCAAGAATAGGACAGGCCAAACTGCTTTTTATAATATAAAGAATATTTTGTGCAATAAATCAATATATTTGAGGGAGGGAACTGGACAATTCATCTGCATAGCCTAGAACAAGGCTTTTGAACTGGCCAGATTAGACCCGTGGAGACCTAGCAAATGGCCCGCGAATCATTGTCAGTTATATTGTATTCATGATTTACCTATGCTCGGGCTTCTGGCCTGTGATTATACCCATATTCAAAATGTTGGCCCCTGGCCTAGAATATTTGAAAACCTAGCACTTCAGACAGCAGCATCGACGGGAATCCTTTATTTGTTATATTTACTTGAATTCATGTCTTTGTTACAGTTCACTGATACCCTGTTTATAATAAACATAGAGGGTTAAACAGAAAACTACAGTAATAAAATGTGTTCATGTTGTATGTGATCTTGGTTCAACCTTGCTTGTGTGATTCTAACATTTATCTATATACTTACCTTGATTTTTTAAAAATTGTCCTACACCAAATCTTGGGACTCATTAAAGATGCAAGCAGAAGGATAATCGAGAGTGAGAAGCGACAATGAAAATCATTCTGTTTAATCATTACTGGGATCACAAGGACTAGAAGACTGACATGGCTAGGGCATTAAATAAGTGCTTCTGTGTGACTATTAAAAAATGTTTCAGACTTCAGACATGATCTCTACATGCAGCTGAGTGAGATGTCCCAGGTTTGGCTGGTTGGCATTCTGGTGGAAACTAAGTCATACGGAACAGTGGAGGGCATGCATTACACCACACACTTTTATAGAAGCTTGTGGCCTTCTCATCTGAAAACCACTGGCAGGGAGAACGACCAGAGAAAGACCGTTACAAATTAAGACATGGGTTCATCAGGACGGTGTGGCCAGCTCATTCATCTGACCTTTCTCCGACTGGAAACCTCTAGGATGTCCTTGATTGAAGATTGTCAACAGATCACTTCCTTGCCAACAGATGTTGGACAGCTGACTGCCTTTCTACTTCAGGGCAAGCTGTTGTTCAGAATACTCTTATAGGTCCCGGGTTTAAGTCCCAGTGAAGGCTGGAATTTTCTCACGTGGATCTCTAATAATTTCCCCTGGTCTCTGGGTAGTAAGACTGGACACCCTTGTGTATTGTTTTGCACATAAAAAAATCCCTTGGCATTTGGAAATCGAAAAGAGTAGCCTAACGGCGATGCACAGGCAAAATTTTGAGCTAAAATCTACCCAAAAATATGTCAGGATTCTCGCCGGTGCTACAGAGTTTGCACTGCGCTGAGATTCTTTGGGCTCAGGCTTGAGCTGGAAGAAAAATGGAGCATTTATGAGTTGCACCGGTGTGCTATGATGTTAATCTGTTAAATAAACCCAAACATACTCTTGGACATGTGTGGACTTGATGCATCTAGGCTTTCTTAAATGCCTTGCTGTAAATGGTTATCATGTCCGATCTTAAATGTCTAGTCATCCAATACCTATTGTGTAAGTTTTGAAGTAGGTGGAACACTTTACAGCTTTGTTGCAGTTGAACGTTTCCATTTCTTTACATGACATTTTAGTTTGGTATTCAATAAATGCAGTCTTCACTGGTATTACTTACATTCAAATCAGATTTGTTTTAGTTTCAACCAATGTGTTCTCAGTACCCCTTGACTTTTGTCGAGCAGTATATTATTAAGTGTGATAGTCTGTGGTATACACTGAGCATGGGATAACCGTATATATTTGTTATTTATCAACTTGGGCCTCTGATGTCGTTCGTATTCAGGAACCTATTCACATTACATAAGTGTATAGTCACATAACAGCCTAACGACTCTGACACATTTAAACACTGGCACAATGACACAGAACCAGAAAAAAAATAATAGTTCCTGTACATAACAACAATCGTGATTTTATTCTCATGACCACAATCATTTCATGTCCATGATTGCACTCAAACATTCCATGCCCATCACTACATTCAGTCATGTCCATGATTGACTACAATCATAATGTTCCCTACAAAGTTACATTTTGATGGTGTGGGAGAGGAACTAAATGTATATGACATACATACACAGACAATGATTGCGTTAAGGGGGCAAATATGTATACAAAGCTGCCCTTTTTTGTCTACATCTCAACAGTGGCACATCTAATTACAGGTACATCTGCATACCAGTACAAGTAATAATCTGGTACAATTAATGACACATCAAATTACTGGTTGATTTTATCCCCAGCAAACAGTAATTATTATCCGATGAATCCTTGGCTGAACAAATTAATGACACAATTCTTAGGACAATTAATTAGTGATCATCCAAACTCTAGCACAACAGTTTCCTTGTACAATTACTGATCCACCGTTCTTATGTACAGCTAGTGAATGATTCCTCTTGTTATTCCCTTTGTGGCATGCCAAGATGCATCCTGTTGTGCTGATTATGTCACACAGGGCTTGCAGTCTCATCTTCCATTCCATTCTATTCTGTGTACTCCTTTTTAGATCATAGTGTTAATCCGTTCCAACAGCTTTCTTCTTAGGGTTTTTCTAGGGTGCACTCAGTCCTGTGGTTTCCCATTTCAGTGCCTGTTTAGTGATTGTCTGCTTTTCTTTAGGATGTGCACAACACATCGCCACCTGCTTTGTTTTATAACTACTACTACTCTTTTTCACGCTCCCCGGCTGTAAACTCAGGTATAAAGTTCTGAGCGTTCGTCCACCCCTGGGCTTTAGTCTTGTTCCAGAACCTGATTGTTTCATGCACATCCATTTTAAGATCTGATTTAATTGTATGCAGACTGTTGGTTTCTTGCTTCTCAGGCAGATACAAACCGACTTTGAAGGAAGCCCTCAAGTAGTTGACTCTTCAGTTATAACTACTGATAGCAGTGGTTTTCCAGGCTTTTTATTTTTTCGGCTTTTGTTAATTCAAACAATTGACATGTGAATTTTGTACACGAATATTGGAACTATGAGAGGCACACACATAATGTGAAATCTAAAATACTGTTCTGGTGTTAACTTTCGCTTAAGAGTTTTAAAAAAAAAAAGTCAGGGGGCATGGACAACACATAATCTCTACAATAATGCCCTGGCTGTGTTCCCTATGCTTCTCTACAATACCAACATGTGGAAGAATGGACAGAAATGAACAAATTACAAAGTTTATGAGATGTATATGAGAAATATAATGGAAAGCAAGCACTCTCTCTCTCTCTCACCCATGACCTGCAAATTATGTAAACTAGAACCTCCCCCTTCCTTCCTTTAAATACTGTTAACTGTCGGTTACCCCATTATAACGTGTTAAACAGGCAAGTAGGGTTTTAGGATTTGTACCTGTAGTCCCTGTATGATTCTCATTCTTGAGATGTTAATCCTGCAGAATGCAAATCTGCAGGGGTACAATTTGAGAAAAAATATGATGTACAAAAACCATGGAAAAAAAACCTTAGAACAAACACAAAAACACATCTCTTATGATAGCACGTTTACCAGCAGCACAACCACCGAAAGTTCTAACGCAGATTCCATACTTTATCAGAACCTGACTGGCTATCTCCTGTACAACCTGGTACGTTGGAGTGGTTCTGAGACTAGCTTCTCTACCCACTAACTGGGTCATATAAAGACAGCTAAAATCAACTGATGTTTATTAAATGCACCTTGAAAAAATATTTTCTATGGATTTTGTACTTAATAATAAAAAGAATCATCGCAGGAGCTACAGAGTGCATGCTCTGTGCTTGATCCATCTTCAGGTGGCAACAGAGAGAGGAGGCACAGAAATAGGAGAACAGGAGTCTGAAGAGTACAGTGAAACACAGCGCCTTGGATTAAAGCATAATAGAGTGGGTTACTGGAATTGTCGTAGTGCCAAGTATAGAGGACTGTACTGGAGAGGCTGATTTATGACTTTGATATAATCATGCTTGAGGAATGAAGCAGATAGATATGCTCCTAATTTGTGGGGATTTTCAAGTTTGGGTAGTTACCGGCCAAGGAAAGAGACCTGCTAAAGATGGGGACAGAGCGTTTATTGGAGTATTCTGAGTGCTATAATGTTGATTCTTAATTCAACAGTGAATGCTTCTAAACTTCAAGTGTGGGTTCCAGGGGACCAAGTTTAGTGGGGGAGAGGGGGATAGACCCACTACCTTCCCCAAACAACTGTTTATTAAAGGCACCTTGAAAGAATATTTTCTATGGATTTTGTACTTAATATTAAAAAGAATCATCGCCGGAGCAGGGAACTAATTAACATTTAGCTGACATTGGTTGTGTTAGGCCGAAAAGTAGATATCACGACATAGTTGTAAACCACAATCTAACATGCAAACCACACTTTTAAGGGCAAATGCAGGTGAAGAAGCAATTCCTTAACTGGAAATTACCCCCCTCCCCCCCCCCAAATAAAAATATTGTGCTATCTCCACAGTGAAGGCTTCCCGTGTTGGTTCTGGGGCAACAAGAGAATAGACCCAGTGCCTCCCCAACAAGCATGTTGTAAGAGTCGACTGACTAGGGAATTCCTTCAAAGTCGGAGTGCAACTGCTCCAGTTGCAAGGAACAACCAACTGCACACAAATAAGCCAATAAAATGCAAAACTCAGGCCCTGGCACAAAGCTAAAGTCCAAACGAACGAACAATCAGGACTTTCCACCAGAGCTTACAGCCGGCGAATAAAGAAGTAGTAGACAATGGAGGTTGGCTGCAGTGTATCTACTGCTAACTATGGGAATATTACATGGTGAGCCCCACTCTTTTCCACATTGTGACTCCCATACCACGGTCTGAATGCCACGTGAACTGACTTTTTCTAAATTGCCTACCACAACTGCGTAACCCTGGTAACCCTAAAAAATGATGAGGATTGTACTGTGAAACCACTCCCTAGAGTCTAGGGGACAGAGCCTCATACTCTTCTTAGCATGTGTCGGCTGTAACTCCACCACAAAGTTCTGCTCTCCGGAACTCATGCTTTGTGTGCACGTCCATTTTACAGATCTGGTTTACTTGTATGCAGGTGTTGGTACCTCACCTTTTACAGCATACTGGGGGGGGGGGGGGAGGGGGGGGGGGGGGGGAGGTGTAACATACGGAGAGTACTCTCTTTCGAATAAAAGCTAAACTATAAGCTCTTTTCTAATATTTATTTGTCTTTCAAATAAATATTAAAAGTTGACATTTTAAATAGCTCCACTTTCCTCAATCAACGACTGTCATAAAACACTGCTGTGTGTCTAGATATCAACAAGAAATTGTCAATTACAGACACCCAAAATGACAAACTACCAGCAAATATCTAATAAATATCTCTCACAATAAAAACCATTCATACTCAGCAATAATTAAGGGAGCAAAACAAAAACCATCTGCCCTTATTGCCTATATTTACCACAGTTTAGGATGGTGTTTGACAGGCAGATCATAAACCTCATGATTTAAGGCTGTCTGGCTAGTGCAGTCAGGATTTTGTTTGCCCCTGACAGAAATTAATCCATCACCCTACCGACAATTCAAACCTGGGTTTCCCGAAACGGCCCTCCTTAACCGCTCCGCCAACAATAATAAAATCATAATATCCACATATTCGGCCAAAATAAATGACAACAATCCTCTGGACCAGTCTGATAAGAACAATATTATAATAATGTCAGTGAGGCCAGGGATAATAACATGACAAAACAAAGACAATCTGTATCAAATATTTCTTATATACAAAGTTAGTTGTTTTTAAAAAGTCAACAACACAGGCAATAGAAAGATGAGACTGGACACGGCTATCGTTTCTCGGCCTTCAACTTTGGCGGCTTCAGGTTGCCCTTAGAGCTCTTTTTGGCATGCTTCTTGTTCCAGGTTCTCCAGCTGTCTACTCGACCAGTGCGGCTCTCCTGCAAACAAAACAGGACACTGCTTTGTATCTTATGTTACTAAGTACACATGTAACAGGTTATTTCAAGGGCTGAAGAAAAGAAACAGGATGGATGGAGAGAATAGAAACACAATTAGTTAGGGATGAAGAGAATAGAAACACAATTAGGAAAGGGGAAAGAGAATAGAAACACAATAAGGGACAAGAGGAAAGAACAAACACAATTATGAGGCGAGAACAAACAATTATGATGAGAGAACTGAACACAACTGGGATGACAGAATAGAAACAATTAGGAAGGAGAGAAAAGAAACAAGGATGACAGAAAAGAAATATTTAGGGAGGAGAGAGTACAAGAAAAGAGGATTGAGATCGATATGAAAGAAAAATACTGAGGTAGACATGAGGGACGACTGTGAAAACATAGAGAAAAACTGCGAGACAGAGAAGGTGGACTTAGGATGTGTTTTTCGTCTTTATCATTCACTGATTGTGAACTGGGGTGGAAAGTTCTGGTTGTTCATCCGCTTTTGGAATGAGACAGGCCTTATGACAATGTAAAGAGATAGACAGACATAGAGGGCTTAGGGGGTCGCGCCATTAGGAAGGTTGGGAGCCATTGATGTAGAGGATCAGAGTTGACACTTACTTCAAAATTCTTTTGCCATTCTTTTTCCATCTTTTTCTTCTCTTCCTCTACAGCCTCTTCTTCAGCTTTACGTTTCCTGAAATAAAAATTAAAATAGGTTCTCACAAACACATACAGTCTAGTCTGGGATCTCATGACATAAACCAGTCCTAGATCTCATGACATAAACCAGTCCTAGATCTCATGACATAAACCAGTCCTAGATCTTATGACATAAACCAGTCCTATATCTCATGACATAAATCAGTCTGGGATCTAATGATTTGAACCAGTCTGGGATCTTATCAACCGAACCAGTCTAGGATCTCATCATCTGAACCAGTCTGGGATCTCATACTCAGACTGAGATCTCATAATCACAAACAATTTGAGTTAGCCTGGGATCTCACATTATAATACAATCTTGGATTTCACAATAATTTACTATCTATCTCAGCCAGCAGGGGAGCCCAAAATCATGTATAATCTAAGCCAGCCTGGGATCCCATAATCACAATCTGAGCCAGCCTGGGATCCCATAATCACAATCTGAGCCAGCCTAGGATTCCACAATCACAAACAAACTGAACTAGTGTGGGATTCCACTGTACCTTCATACAACACAAAACTCACCAGTAAACTCTTTTCACATAATGCAACTTGGCTGTTTTAACATTCACAACATTTTAAAAATGAATTCAGCGCCCCATAACTAGGACAATTACCACTCATGAAGGATAAAGAAGAATCTGGACTGACCTTTCATGCATGTCTTTGGTTTCTCTTTCCTGCCTCAAGCGCTCTAGATCAGCAAAAAGCTTGCACGTCTGCACATAGATGGCATGCTTGTACTGGGGACACAACGCCAAAAAAAAATCTGCTGTAACAGGATCGTAGCTTCTCAATTAAGTGGTTAGAGGATAGTGGCTTTGTGTATGGTCAGAGGACAGTGGCTTCTTATGTGGTTAGAGGACAGTGGCTTCTTATGTGGTCAGAGGCTAGAGGTTTCTTAGATGGTCAGAGGACAGTGGCTTCTTAAGTGGTTAGAGGACAGTGGCTTCTTAAGTGGTCAGAGGACAGTGGCTTCTTATGTGGTCAGAGGACAGTGGCTTCTTAAGTGGTTAGAGGACAGTGGCTTCTTAAGTGGTTAGAGGACAGTGGCTTCTTAAGTGGTTAGAGGACAGTGGCTTCTTAAGTGGTTAGAGGACAGTGGCTTCTTAAGTGGTTAGAGGACAGTGGCTTCTTATGTGGTCAGAGGCTAGAGGTTTCTTAGGTGGTCAGAGGACAGTGGCTTCTTATGTGGTCATAGGGTTGTGGTTTCTTGTGTGGTCAGAGACAGTGGCTTCTTCTGTGGTTAGAGGACAGTGGCTTCTTCTGTGGTCAGAAGCTAGAGGTTTCTTAGGTGGTCAGAGGACAGTGGCTTCTTATGTGGTCATAGGGTTGTGGTTTCTTGTTCTCACCATGTTCTTGGTGGGTCAAAGAAGGCCACTCCAAACTAGACAGAACATCAGGCAGCAAGTTGTCCCTAGTCTAGGAGGACATTATTCTATTCTGCTACCTCTTCTTTTTTCTTGCCTCTAATCTTGTTTCACCTTTCAATGGCAGGTTCTGAAGAGGCTGGTGCTGTGAGTCTTGTTGTGGGCTGCATGGATGATGGTATTTACCGCCTTGGATATCCCATCCATCCATCACTTGCATGGGCAATCTCTGCTTCCATCGTGTCTCAGTTAAGATAAAAATACTGTCAACTAGAGTAAAACCTTGTTATCATGGGGAAAAAAAACATGGGTTTTGGAAAGCCTCCTGTCACACATCCTCATGGATTTTGGCCTATATCAGGCTGAACTGCAGAGATGCAGTGTCCAGAAATCCTCTGGCTCTAATTTGCCCTCACCCAATGCCTGGGAAAAATGTCCATCGAAAACTCATTTGGAACATGAGTGAAGCCTGCTGGTTGAATATCCTACTGTATGTGTGTTACAAACACTGGTTCAAACGTTTGACAGGCAAAAGTCCCATTAAAAATGCTGCTTAGACTCAAATGTCCTACCATGCGACAAAGTTTAAAAGTTCATTAACACTTGCCCAACTCGTCAGAGTTTCAGATCATAAAGGTAACCCATGCCGATGCCTGACGCATGCTTTTTCTGTACCACTGAAAGTGTCCTTATGCAAGTAGGTAACAGGTGTCTAACATGCTGAGGAAGATCTTGCCCATCTGTGTGGTCATCACAGTCTAACATCTGTGGGCAGCTTCCTGTTGATCTTTACAAGGCATAGTACATGATGAGCGGGAAGCTTAACATACAAGTATGGGATAAAGCTAAATTGTGTATCATGAAACCAACCAGGAAAGTTAACCTGGCGAACAAATACCAGATGAATTTGTCTGTGTCGGCAAAAAGGTACAAATATCAGTTACCTTGTAATCAGGCACAATGCAAATTGCGTCACTCAAACAATTAAAGAGAAGACACTAGAAATAAAAACCAACATACAAGTCTTTTTGAGGGTCAATGTTTAGGGCTGTACTCACCTTGTCAAGATCATCTTCAGGTACATCCTGAGGCTTGCCTTCTTTCTTGAGCTGTTTCTTCTTAAGTCTGATCTGTATGAGAAACAGCATTAGTTTGAGATGTGTCAACGGATTAAGTTGACAAACAGGATAATTCTTTATCAACTGAATTACCCACTTCTCTGTTGTCACACATTACTCCAGACTTATAATACCCAGTTGTACTTCATCTAATCAACCTTCCTGTCTCCGCATATTATCCCAGACCTGACCTATCCCCTTCCCATTTCCACTTACCACCCTAGACCTGACCTATCCACTTACCACCCTAGACCTGACCTATCACATTCCTGTTTCTACTTACCACTCCAGACCTGACCTATCCCCTTTTGGTTTCCACTTACCACTCTAGATCTGACATACCTCCTTGTTGCCCTCCGGGATTGCAATTAATCCTGGCCACACCTACTCCCCCTGGCAACAATATGACTATCAAGAAATCACATCAAATTACACAAGCTGATAGAATCTCACAGCAGCTGTGTCTATTTCTAGGATGCCATAGCCAGCGCAGCCCCTGGTTCAAACACGCCAGTTAAGGACATCTGTATATTCATGGAATTATGATCACACTCAGCAAGAAACAAAAGGTGTACCAACCATTTCATCTGTGCGTGTTTTTGCTTCCTCCACTATCTCCTTGCATCGTTTGAGGCCCTCTTCATTCTCCAGTGTCTTGTACGCTTTGTTGATGGCTAGATCAGACAATTACAAGATGTGTGCGGTCAATCATCAATAATGTCACAGAAAATATGACACAAACAGTACAATTATCACATCACACAACTAGACTGCTGGAACCTACTATACATGAACAAGACAGAGGTTACTTCACCCTGCAGAAAACGTTAGTTTAACAAATCCAAATAATTGTCAACAATGAACAAAGTGCATATTGTGAGTTGGTTACACAGTATTGGGGGGGGGGGGGGGGGGGGGTGAGACACTCCTATCTACACCATAAAAGGTAAAAATTAGTGTTTCTTGAAATCAGATCATAGCAGACAGACTTGCTAAAAATGGAACAAGAAATAACACCCCCATCCATTGTCATTACCGGGAATCAAAACACTTACCAAGGGAAAATAAAAGGAGTTGTGGAAAGAACAAACTAACAGTAAACATCCACAAGACCCCATCAGCAGACTTAGCAGAAAGCAACATACAACAATTTTCCGTCTACAAACAGGACACTGCAGGCTCAACCACCACATGCATAAAATAAAGATTTTACAGTCCCCATAGTGTGCCCGTGAAACAGGACCACAAACACCTGAGCACATTCTGCAGACCTGCCCACTCTACCTACAACTTCAAAAAAGACACTCGGCCTCAAGAGCAAAGTGTGCAGAGCACCATGGGGAACCGAATGCAAAGAAGAAGAAAAAGAAGAAATCAGATCAGTGAATCATGGACAGTTGGCCAGTTAGTGAAAACTTATGTGGAATCAGTAAAGATGTAGTTTTACAGATGATGAAAATGATGAGAACACCTTGTTTCGAAAGAGACTGACTGACATAGAGATCTGACTGTCCCCATCAGTAGGAGACAACTGGAGTACATCGTGACAGTGGGAGAGCTGGTGAGTAAAACATGCACATGGAAACCGATAGAGATGATACTGGATAGTCTGACATCATTGCCTGGAAGATCATGTATGTCAGAACTGACTGAAAATACACAAGACAAAAAGTTGTGGATATACATGACTACCAAAGCAACATTGCATGGATTATAAGAAGAAATCAGATCTACTGGGTGAAAAGGCACAGACTGCCTAGCTGTAAATCTACCAGCCAACTGTCCTTTTATGAGAGAACACTGAAAAAAGTGAGCTGACTGACAACCCATACTCTGTAACAAGTTAGCTGTGTCTTCACAGGATGAAGTATTACAAACCCCAGCATTTGTTGGCTGTTTGTGATATCACTAGGCCAGTTTTTCCCCAAACTGTGCACCGCGGCGCCCCGGTAAACTGCGACCTCTTCACAGGGGCGCTGCGAAATACTGTAAAAGCTTCATAATTAATTTAACCAAGACACGAATAGTCATGCTTTGACTTAGGTTAGGGCGCCATGGAAAATTTTTCATTGAAAAAAAAAGTCGCAGCGACCAAGAAAAGTTTGGGAAACACTGCACTAGGCAATTTTAAATTCTGCAGTTTGCCACTGTTTATTGAACGTTTGGCTTTTGATACCACTGCTGAAACCAAAGTAAGGCAGTCTGCTCTACTGAGATGAAAAGTTCAAAAAGAAGAATATGTACACAGGAATATCTCATATTTCTTTTTCCTCAGGGGAAAAGTTCTAGTTGTTTGTCCACTTCTATATTTTGATCTTTTTCCAGAACTTGAGTTTTGCATGCACATCCCTTTCACAGATCTAGCTTATTTATATGCCGGCTGTTAGTTTCCCGCCTCTCAGGCAGAGGTAATCTAACGTCGAAGGAAACGCTCCTAATTAGACGACCTTTATGAATGCTTGTTATGGGCAACAAACTTCTCTCCACCCCCCACCTTACACTGGGAATCACATTTTTAGAACTGGACTCTTTCTTCTTCTCCCCTTACACCCCCCCCCCCTCTCCCCCCAATGGAGCCTTGGCCCTAAACCAGCTCATGTCAAGTCATTCTATTCTTTGCCACTGCACTCAGCTCACCTTATGTCTTTCCCATCCTTTTCAGTTCCTTCCTAGTTCCCTTCTCAAATGTTTTTGGTCCGCCTGTATTCCTTAGACCACGTGGGTCTCAGGACAATCTAGAAATAGATTAGTCATGTGTCTACCCATTCTCTTTCTGACACTCCTTCCCCTGGTGCTGTCTGCATTACACCAGCTTACCCCCACCCTATCACTACATGACACTATCCTGCAATGGAGCAGTGGATGTTTCACTAAAGAATTTTTTTTAAAAGGTATGCCAAACTGCACAATGAAGGTCAGCTACAGTGCCCCCATTCTATCTTTGAGAGTATTACATGGGGGAGGCTTCAACCATTCTGTGACTCTCTTACTACAGTCTAAAAACCACAAGAATACTTATTTAAACAAAAACCACATTGGAAACCAAGGATCATGAAACTTAAATGCATTCACTAGGAGTCAATGAGTCACACACACAACGCAGCACTATAAGAATGTTGTAACAAACACTAGTACCTTCAAAAGATTTCTGGGCTCTGTCAGTATCATCTTGGTTCTTATCTGGATGGACTAAAATGGACATCTGAAACAGACAGAGCTCTGATCAAACATTAATGGCAACAGGTGACAAGCAGGCAAAAAAGCTCCATTATTAGACTTTCTTCTTCTTGTTAATGTCTGAAATTTAGTCTTGTTCCAGAACTTGAATTTTTTTTTTGCATGCACATCTGCTTTACAGACCACTTGCCACGCCTCGGCGGGCCAAACCTGGCCCGCCGAGGCCTAGCAAGTGGCCCGCCGATCGTTGCCAAAATAGCGATATGTAGTTATTGAAAAGAACAAAAATTAAATCAGTCAATGTTTCTTTATATTCCTCAAAAACCAGTCAGGTCAAATGTGTCAAATAGAAGGGTTTGTCAGGAATCTGTAAATACGAAGGTACAAGGGAACCAGCATATGAACAGAAAAAGTAATTTGATCAGGGTAAAAGTTCATTCCCAGTTCGCTCAAATAGCAAAACTCGCCTGTTTGAAGCCAAAGGTAATAAGATAGGCTGGAAAGTACCAAGTAACAAGCGGGAAGGCCATGGCTGCACTGGACATTCAATGAAGGTGAGATATTTATTGGACAGGAGGCGTAGGGAAATAGCAACACGGTCCTGACAGTAAGAGCTTAGATTACAGAGAAACTCTCCTTAATGGGCACCACAAACTAATGCCATTGGATGTAAAAGAACATCAGACACTGGACACGGCACAATACCTTGTTATCACATTATAACCTCCAGAAGAATGTCCAGTCACATTCACAGTCATACAGAGATTATCGGACGCGATTGTACATTAACAAACTGAATCAGTAACAGTGTTTTAAATTATCTACTTTTAATAATTTAGTTTAATACTTCATGCCATGGCTAGCACTAGTAAGTGGGATTGTGAAAAACGTGCATTCAGCAGTGACTGGACACTGAAATATTTTTTTTATATTGCCGACTCTGCCTAATTCGAAACCAGTATGCTTGCCATTTTATTTCTTCAACATTGGACTCTGCAACCTTAACCGATCAATGATATAAATATTTTTAAACAGCTTTAGAATAATTTAAACAACAGATTTGACGACTTCAAAATCCCAAACAATGTAATGTTATTTGTTCAGGATCCTTTTAAAATCCCTCCTGCGTGTGATTTTTGTTCCAGTGCTAAGAAGTTGATATCCTCTGTTGATGAAATTTCTCTGCAGTTAGAACTTATGGATATGCAAAGTTCCAGCACAGTGAATGAAGATTTTCAAGAAAGTGGTACAGTCAAGTTTTGGAACGAGAGGATTCAACAGAAGCAGTTCCCTAATACTAGAAAAGTTGCTGTATTCATTCATACTCACCATGTGAATCAAGCTTCTCACACATGAATGTCATCAAGACAAACAACTGAACCTCACTGAGCAACGATAGGCTGCAGGACTGCATGAGAATTGCTCTAACTTCTCACTAGCCAAATTTGGCAAAATTAGCTCAAAAACGGAAATGCCCCATTTCCCATTAATTACATTTTGCATCGTTATACCTTTCAGTTTCTTCTGCAGAACACGAAACCAACTGTGGACAGTTATTATTATTATTGTGATAATGGTAATGTTTATTTATGATCCCATCTACAAGTTGGAAATAGGTGTATTTCAATTAAAAGGGATCCCCGTGTGGGTTCCGGGGCCCTATTGTGGGGAAACGAGAATATACCCAGTGCCTACCCAAAAGAATGTCACAAGAGTCGACTAATTAGGAGCTTTCTTCGAAGTCGGAGTAAATCCGCCTGAGAGCCAAGGAACCTAGTCTGCATGCAAATGAGTAAGACGTGTAAAACGGATCTGTAGAAACACTCAGTTTCTGGAACGGGACTAGAGTCCAGAAGAAGATGTACAACCAGAACTTTCCGCTGGAGTTTACAGCGGGTTAATACAAAGAAGAATTAAAAGTGAGTATTAATTAATCATTACAGAAGATTGTAGTACACTTTACATTATAATGGTTTACAACACTGCTATATTTATATAGGCTACGTCCTAGGCGTAATAGTTTTCGAGTGTATTAAATCCACAGATTGAAAATGTTGTCATTTGTAGTGTGGGCTCGGGCCAATGGCAGACTTACTATATGTATGCAGACTGTTGGGTCATCATCTCTCAGACTGATGAACTCTGACTTCAAAGAAAACACCCCTAACTAGTTGCCATTGATGACATGCTTGCTGGGAAGTGGGGAGCTGTTGGTCTATCCCCCCCCCCCCCCCCCCCCCCCAAACTGCCTTTATTAACAGATAACTTTAGGCCAAACAGACGATGTGAACCTTTTTGGTGTTGGCTACATTCTATAATTAAGAGCTAGCTACAGATATCTAGATATGTGTTGATACATCAAATGACCAACAGCCCTGGTAGCACAGTGGCTAGATGCTCGCCTGTTAGCTCCAAGGACCAGGGTTCAAATCTGCACTGAAGGCAGACTTTTGCTTTCAAATGTATTTACTGATTTAGGAACTGATATCACAGCACACACACCAGGCAAACTCACAGGTGCTCCACTGACTGCAGCAAATGTCTTAAGGTGTAGGTGCTAATGATTCTCACAGCAAACTGATTATACACATGTTGTTCTCTTCCTCTTGTGCACCCCTTTCTTTCCACTCCTAATTTAAAGTTCATTTATTCTTACACTGTTATTTCATCTAAGCTCATACCACACGTGAAGACCACGAGTTGACAATCACTGTCAAAGGTAAAGTGATAGAGAAGGAGACAATAAAGATCACAATTTTCAGACTACATGACAGACAGCCTGCTGATAAATACCTGTCTGTATTTCTTTTTAACCTCAGACAGCGGTGTGTCAGGATCAATCTGTAATACCTGAAAATAAAATTGACAGTAATGAGCATTCATCAAAGAAGGACTTCATGAAGCATCATTGATGATTAATTAAATGTTGGCTACGAAAGTGACAATAATAAACATCAAATAGTGACTGATTGCATGAAGAATCACTGATTCATTTTAATGATGAAGGCAACAGCAACCTGCATTGGTTAGTGCAGATGACATTATTCCCAGTTGTCACTACCTAGTTCTTCTTCTGCATTCACTCTCCAAAGAATGTTTGGAATGCTATTCTGTGATTTACAGCTAGGCTGTAAAATCTGTGCCTTTCACGTTTGGTCCAACAGATGCCTTTTACAACAAGGAGCAGTGGTCTTTTGTGTGTGTGTGTAAAATCAGGAAATGAATGGCTATAATGGAGAAAATGATTGCAGACACATAAGCCAGATCTGTAAAATGGAGGTGCATGCAAAACTGGACTAAAGTCCAGAGGTGAATGAACAATCAGGAACTTTCTTTCAGAGTTTACAGCTGGTGAATGCTAAGAAGAAAAAAGATTTCAGACAGGTTGAGAGCTGGGAGTCTGAGAAGATGAATGTTAATACAAGCTATGGCAACAATGGTCCTGAAATTCTATACTTTAACTGTGGAAGACTTTTCTGAATGCCAGCAGGTCTTGCTAGTCACACTCATCACTAATATAGGCCCATGCCTCTCTAAAAAAATAATATAAATAACAATAATGTCCGGAAAGCTGCCAACAAACAGCAAATGTGTAGATATCTGATGGCCACAGACAAATTTTTACAAGCATACAAACAAGAAATTAGGCTGAGTGTGTATGCTTACATCATACGGATTCAGATTGAAGTAAGTCGCACCTGGTCGAGTCAAACGGTCAATCTGCTGTTTGGATGTTAAGACTGAATCTCGTTTCTCTATGGCCTTGACCTGTTGAGAAAAAAAATTGAGATAAAGTGCTTGTGTAACCAAACAATTCACATCACTGTAAAAAAAATTTTGGCAGACACAATCCAGATCATATGCCAGTGAAAAAGTTCAGCAAACATTTTTATTTCTATCAGTCATGTAAAGTGTCATCTTAAACAAGCGTCCCTGAAAATAATAGACAAGGCAGGTGTACAACATCATATTTATAAATTCTTTCAGGATCCTCGCTGGTGCTACGGAGTGTGTGCACTGCACTGAGATTCTTCAAACTTAGGCTTAAGCCAGAAGTTAAACCGTAGAACGGAGCAATTATGGTTACCCATTGTGCCATGGTGTTGATTTGTCATCTTCACCAACCATTATTACATTTTTTAACATCAGCAAGGCCACATAAGTTTTTGAAAACAATTTAACATTGCCAACAAACATCTGATGGCATCAGAAATATGTTGTGCAAGGAAAATGAAAAGCACCACAGACAGGCAGAAAATAAGTTAGGAGGTCAAGAAGTAGACAGAAAATTATTAACTGATTAGAAAATTGAGGCTCAGTAAGACACTCTGGGCATAAAAGGGAAAAAACTGACAAGCTGAAATTAATTTGCAACAAAATTTATATTATATCTCAGTTTATTCATATCTGTATATAATTTGAATAAGATAATGCTGCATTCCACATTTTCCGATCTATACAACAGAACTGTTGTCATAATTTTGGAAAAAGATGAAAGAGATAAGAGATATTACTGTTAAAATACCACAGCAATGAAAATGGTAAATTCCTTTTGATGCTGTATCATATAATAATAAATGTATCACATTTTTAACTGTAGCATCAATCAAATACATCTAAAGCACATAAAACATTCTGTAGTGAGAATCTACACATAAAAATGACACATAGTGACTGTTACTTGTATCATAACAAACAGTCCAAACCAACAACCAGTGTCCATAAATAACAAAACACTTGAAAATGTTGAACAGTTCACATATCTTGGCAGTGTGGTGTCCCTACTGGGAGGGACAGAGGAAGACATAGTCATGCCTGACAAAGCTAAAGCTGCTTTTAGAAGGATGAGGCAAATATGGAAATCCAACAATTACTGCAGAGGAACAAAACTGACTCTACAAGAGCATCATTTTGCCGGTTCTTCTTTATGCAGCAGAATGCTGAAGAATGACTAAAAAGGATAAACATAAGCTATGCACCTTCCACCACGCATGTCTACATAGAATTATCAAAATTTTCTGGCCAGATACAATCTCAAACATTTAACTACTTCGATTCACAAAACAAGAGAAGATGAAAATGGCTTGGCTGAACAATGTTATGAGAATGAATCCTGATATATCTGCCAAAACAGCTCTCACATGGATACCAGGAGGAAAGAGAAAAAAGGGGTGCCCAAAAACAACATGGAGACGAACGATGGAAAGTGACTTGAGTGCGGCATTTCTGACATGGAAAATTGCACTGAAGAATGCACAGGACAGGAAAGCACGAAAAGTCCTCTCTGAAACCTCATGTGCCACTAGGCATAACGAGAACTGATATGTAATAAATATATATAAATTCCTTGCGTAGGAAAGTACATGACTCTAAAAAGAAAGAGTTTTTTTTCAACCAGATGGTATGGAGGCAAATTCGGCTATCTTCCTAATAATGGTCCAAAATTATTGAGGCTGAAAATATACCCTAACAGGGCCTCAGTCACATGTCAATTGCGGACTTTTGCCATTGCCGAGAGTATCTCTGACGCCGCTATGCGCTGCGTGGATTGGAGCTAAACTAGATGGCTGGGACAAGCAAATAAAGTGAAGAAAGCTGCAGGAGATACAGTAGTTGCTGCTCATGAGTCCCAGCCACATAGTTTAGCCCCAATCGACGCTGCGCGTAGCAGCGTAAGAGATAATCTCGGGGGTGGCGGTAGTCGCCGAAAGTGCGCAATTAAAGTCGCCAGAAGCCGGCAATTGACACGTGACTGAGGCCCTGTTAGGGTATATTTTCGGCCTCGATAATTTGGGACCATTATTAGGAAGATAGCCACATATTCGGCTCTCCTCCGAACTTCTACCCCCGCATTATGGCGGCCTAAAATATCCGTTCGGGGCTCAGTCTAATGAAAAATGCTGACTTTCTGCCAAGGAACAAATCGCGGCAAAACTAGGATTATTTGACAATTTGAAGAGAAACAACATTGCAGACGATAGTAGCAGACGATAAAAGCAACCGGTGACAATGCCGAGCATTTCTGCAGACGATAAAAGCGACCGTTGACAATTTCGAGACATTACAGACGATGAAAGCGATATGACGAGTAGACCACGCGCTCCCACGCAGATTAGCAATACTGTTTTTTCCGATTGAGGATTTAGCAGCGGTAGATGTCAGACTTGTCGGTATGCGCAAAACGCTATTAAACGCGTATCCCTCGAGCTGCTACCCGCAGCGCGGATGGGGGGCTAAACTAGGTGCTTGGGACTCACGGGCGAAGTAATTGGAGGAAGTTGCAGGAGATGCGTTAGCTGCTGCCCATGAGTCCTAGCCATCTAGTTTAGCCCCTATCTGCGCCGCGCGTAGCGGGGGATACGCTCGGCGGTGGGCATAGTCACAGAAACAGGTCCGCAAGTAACATATCGCTGAGACGATGTTAGAGCATTTGTTTCATTTTTCCGAGCCGATCCTAGATTTGCCGCCATTTGTTCGTCAGCAGAAAGTCTGACAAATCCGCATTTTACATATTTGTTCCTCGGCAAAAAGTCCGACAATGGAAAGTGTCAACGGTCGCTACTATTATCGTCTACTACGTTCGTCTGCAGTGTTGCGTCTCTTAGAATTGTCAGGTAATCAGAAACAATAAGAAACAGGTCCGCATGTAACATATCGCTGAGACCCTGTTAGAGCATTTGTTTCGTAAACGGAGCCGGCATATTTTTAATAGAACTGAGCCCCGAACGGATATTTCAGGCTGCCACAATGCGGGGGTAGAAGTTCGGAGGAGAGCCGCATATTCTTTACAAAGAAACTGATAATATTTAAATTAGTTACACCCTGCTTGAACAGCACCTAGTAAATTTGGTTAATTTTCTTTATTTACTTTTGAAACTTCAACTTTAAGTTAAAATATAAATAGTACAGATCAATAAATCAATTTGAATTACACAGGAGCAGAATTTAAGTTGTTATATTTATATCTATATTGAGCGATTTGTAAATTTATAAAGATCAAATAATAAAATTTGTCATTGTTTATGTATCAATGTGTACCACATAAATTTGTAAAAAAAAAAAAAAAAAACTGTGACATCGAATTGAACTGTAAATGGCAGAAACAAATCAATAAGACAACCGTCATAACTAAACAATACCCGAGTCCATAGTAATAGTATGTATAGTTAGAGGAGACCCTCCAAAAGTGCCAAACAAAACAGTTTAAAATGAAAACAAAAACAAGTGTCAGTACTGTCAGTTGACACGCCAGCATATTAAATACACTTATAAAATGCAAAAACAAACCTCATCGTAGAATTCACAAAACGCCGTCTCCTTCTCCGCCGGTGGCAGAATCTGGTCTGTGGATGTTGAAGCGAAGTCGCCCTGTGTTTGACAGTTACTGAACCCAGAAGTCATGTCCGTCGCCATTTTTGTTTCAACGAAAACTTGACGTTTTTTAAAAAAGCCAAACCTTTAACAAATACAACACCTATTCGCTAAAGAAGTACGTGTATGGCAGAAAATGTAAGCGTTGATAGTAAAACCGAAGAGAGTTGCAGGAAACTTGTTTATGTTTCAAGGAGTCCAAAACATTCATTGTTGACAGACGCGAAAACACACTGCTGAAGCCAAAAGGGCATGCGTTTGTTTTCGTTTCCTTTCACAGGAGATCGAGAGTCGTGAGTGAGCTGCACTGCCGTTGCCGGTTGCCTGCCGGTCTGAAGGTCTGAAATTCAAATGTTATAAGTGGCTCCCACATGCAGTAAGCGAATGGAGGTAGAGGCAGTAATTGGAGCTTTTTGATGGCTTGAGAGAAGCATAGCCAGACATTTCGATATTAAAACTGACTCACAGAGCATGCTTCGGAAATTGAAACGGCGTCCTGCACGCAGATTGGCTTGCATCACTTGATAAGACTCTGATCAGGAGCATATGGTGGATTTTCTGTCCGGGAAAATGCATGTGTGCAAGGTAACGGACAGCCTGACGGATTAGCTGTTGTGCGATAAGCTACTTTATGATAAAGTGGACGTGGTGAAGGCCTTCTGGAATAAAATGAACAGAATAATAGATTTCGTGGGGAGGCCCGGGGGGGGGGGGGGGGCTACGTGATCTCGAGACATGGTGTCCGCCTCGAATGCTGGAGGTCCCGGTGAAGGCTGGGATATTTTTTCACGTTGACTTCTAATAAATTTTCCCTGGTCTCTGGGTAGTAAGATCGAACGCCCGTGTTAGAAAAATCCTTCGGCAGTTGGAAATCGAAAAGAGTAACCTAACGGTGCTGCCCGGACAATATTTTGAGTTGAAAGTATTTCAGGATTCTCTTACACAAGTACACATACAGGACATGTTGGTTGGTTGCTTACACAAGTACACAGGGCATGATGTTGGTTGCTTACACAAGTACACATACAGGACATGTTGGTTGGTTGCTTACACAAGTACATATACAGGACATGTTGGCTGGTTGCTTACACAAGTACACATACATAGCATGTTGGCTGGTTGGTTACTTACACAAGTACACATATAGGACATGTTGGTTGTTTACACAAGTACACATACTTGGTTGCTCATAGAAGTATGAATACGAGACAAGCTGTTGGTTGCTTACATAAGGATGCACAGAGGACATGTTTTTGGCTGCTTACACGAGTATTTTTACTGATACCATAGACACTGGAACTCTGAACTGACTGCTGAATTTGGGAACTAATCACTTATGAGAATGTTCAGAATGTTGTGATGTTGGTTCTAAACTAAACTACACAAGTACACACTTGGGACATGTTGTCAGTTTCTCACACAAGTTCACTCTTGGGACACGCTGTTAATTCTTACACAAGTACACTCCTGGGAGACGTCAGTTGTTTACACAAGTACCCTCCTGGGACACGTTGTAAGTTCTTATACAAGTACACTCCTGGGACAGGATGTAAATAGCTCACACAAAAACACTCGTGAGACACGTTGTCAGTTGCTTACACAATAAACTCCTGGGACATGTTGTCAGTTGCTTACACAATACACTCCTGGGACATGTTGTCAGTCGCTTACACAATAAACTCCTGGGACATGTTGTCAATTGCTTACACAATACACTCCTGGGACATGTTGTCAGTCGCTTACACAATAAACTCCTGGGACATGTTGTCAGTTGCTTACACAATACACTCTTGGGACATGTTGTCAGTCGCTTACAAAAGTACACTCCTGGGACATGTTGTCAGTCGCTTACACAGTAAACTCCTAGGACATGTTGTCAGTCGCTTACACAATACACTCCTGGGACATGTTGTCAGTCGCTTACACAATAAACTCCTGGGACATGTTGTCAGTCGCTTACACAATACACTCCTGGTACATGTTGTCAGTCGCTTACAAAAGTACACTCCTGGGACATGTTGTCAGTTGCTTACACAAGTACACTCCTGGGACATGTTGTCAGTTGCTTACACAAGTACACTCCTGGGACATGTCAGTTGCTCACAGAGGTACACTCCTGTGACATGTCAGTTGCTTACACAAGTACACTCTTGTGATACGCTGTCTGCTGCTTTAACAAGTACACAAAGTACACAGTCAGCTGGTTACAGGTTGTTATATTTTGGTGTAGTACTAAAGAGAGCCAATTTGAAGCCATATGAAAGCAGATGAAACCCATGCACAAGTTAGAATGATGGCCTCTAAAACAGTATGAGAGCACACAACAGATCGTTAATCCCCCCTACCCCTTCCCAACAATAAAATCATCACTACCATAGCTTTTGTTCTGGTGACAAGCTACGGTACGCAATGCAGGCACCATTTGATGCATAATTTTTCCAACACTAATGTAATAGACGCTATGTGGTGAGAATCGAAACCTTGTTTCCAGGAATCATATGCCCTGACCACGCCGATCTGTATCTTATATCTAAAGATGGCCGTGGCCCTGACCACCACCAACATGTTGCTGAGTCACTTCAAGAAGAAAGGGAAGTGGTGAATACTGATGACAATGATGATAATGATAACAAATTACACTGGTGTCCGTATCTCAGTTTTGTATTGCGTTACTTGTGAATAAGTGCACATTCTCTCAATTGAAAACCTCACCTATGTTGTTTCAATCAGCCTTCATTAAACACACAACAACACACACATTTCTAAAAGCAGCTGCAGAAGACAAATGGAAAGCAGTGAATGTTAACAGAACTTGCTAAACAGTTGAAATACACAATAAACATAAATTTTTTGATCGGCACTCATAGAAAGAAGTACACTCGTTCCTGCAACGATGTGACGTCATTTTGAGGTGACAAGCGCCGATCCTGGCATGATAGCTATAATTACTGTAGCTTTCCATGTGTGTGTTGTCTAGCATATCCTTCTGTTCTTACTACTTCTTCCTATGAGAACCTGTCTATTTGTTCATTATATATAGTTCTACGACCCAAAGGCTCATCCGTCTTTGTTTGAAACATCAAAGGCTAAAGGCAATCTCTCTCTCTCTTTAAAATTGTCGTCCTTCAAGGATTGCATTCTGAAAGATAAGACACAGTGACCCAAAGAGCTACGACTGGTACCAGGTTACGTTCAACCTGTTGCGAACAGCGTTTGCTGCTAGCAACGTTCGGTTATATTTGTGATCTGGTTTATTTCTGCCAAGTTTACTGGCTGAGATTTGTGAATGTTTATCAGGACTGATGACTTAGCATCCCTACATGAGTGTATTGCTATTCCTATATGTCTAAATCCCATTTTGGAACTATTTTGCCAGTTTTTGTTGTTGGCTGTGCCTATTTTATTGTGGCTGTGATATGTTTTTAATTTCTGTCAAACTGAGGGTCCTTTATCCTGACTGTCGGTGTCTTCTGTTATGTGGTTCTGAGATGGGTCGGTCCTGTTGATGATCTTTGCCGTTCACAGCTAGCACCGCGTAAGAACCAAGACTGTCACCATTCATTAACAGACTATATGAATCTCTGTAAATTACCTATGACGACGGAAAACTCACCGCACACAGAGTGACGTAGACAGCACTAGAGACCTGCGGCAAGCAATTTATTATTATAACTAAACCCTTTTATAAAGAAAGGTAAAGAATGCCCACGCCATCCTTGAAGAATCCCTGCTAAAGATAAAATTGTCGAAGAAAACCAACTATTATCACCAGGGAATAATAAATCCACAATTTTAATGACACAACATTAGTAACATTACCTAAATATTCGTAGTATCATTTTATTTTGAAGCCCCACCCTGACTGTTGTCGGGGAGCCCTAATATAACTTAACGGTTGAACGGGGTTTCCGGGACCTCTCCAAAGGTGATCGTCATCCGAATTGTGGCACCGAATTGCTGGGGTAAAACTTACTATTAGTAGTACAGTTTATATTGTAAGTACCACCAAAATGAGAGAAATATTTGAAACAATACAAATAACAAATTTGTCCGAAATAAATAATTACACAATATATAAAATAACAAATATATTCTATGAGAACTCAAAGAACACAATATATTCCGGTTAAAATGGACACTAGACAGAGGCGCTGTTCGAAGCAGAGGCACATTTTTTGCTTCTACCGGACGGTGGCCGAAGTATTTTTGCTCCATTTGTAGACTGGATATAGTTTCGTCGCCCAGCTTCTGAGTTGAATGCATGGCATGACCCTGTGAGCTGCAGATTGCATTTGGAATGTATTTTCGACTGTGACCAACGTGGTGGTGTGAATTGTAGATTCAGAAAATGGCGTGCAATGTTGGCGGTGCCCGTATCTGGTTAAAATTGATCGCCTGGACAACTGCTGAACTGTTGGCGACAAGTTCTGCTATCATCAATGATGAACTGCATTTCTAATGATGGACTGTTTGTGTTAGCACTTCGGATGGCTACGTATGCTTTAATGCGAGTGTATGCTAGATGTGCTGAGACAGCAGTCTGTCAATCTTTCCACAATGGACTGTGAAAAACATTCTGGGTGTTTTTCGTTGGCACAGGAGCGGAGCAAAGATGGGGCGACCCGTTGCTATGAAGCTGAAACTAAGACTACCAGACAATATATTCCAATTATGACAACCTCTAAGGGTTGACCATGCTATTTTTGAAAAAATACTACAACACCCTACCACACTAATTTTATAGTTCGAGTTTTTGGTTATTTAAAGTGCTGAGATAAGTGTTTTATGCTGGACAGGTCCAAAAGTCAAATTATTTTTTTTTATCTTAAGGATCTCAACTGCTTGGGACTGAAAGATTAGGGGCGAACGCAGAAGGGGAGGGTGAGAGAAATGAGTTTGAAACCAATTAACCGCTAGATGTCACTGTGAGCCTTGGTGCAACATCCGCTTCCGGAATGAATGATAGAAGAGCGATCAGGAGAGAGCGGTACGTCTGTAAACAAACTCACAAACTTCTCATTTCTTCTGTCCCTAATTTAAACTTTACCTGACGATTTAGGGACTTAAATTGTACCAGTCAATAAGTCTTCTGCAGCCTAATTAACCAGAAGGTGGCGGTGAATGGACTGAAAACTTGCTGAGCATTAGCTACTTTTTCTTTCAATTCATCCTTCAATCCTGGTCACTGTTTTACTTTCATTTTTCGTGGGTACGCTTTTCCAGCTTCCGAGCAGCTACCTGAAGGTTTGACCACCTATTGGCATTCCGATATGTGTGAGATACCAAATACGCTACCGTTCAACCACCAGAGAAGTTAAAAACTAAGGGTTTGAACAACGGATCAACATCAAGGCACACGGGTGTAACCCATCAGTGCTCCGTTTTTCTTTTAACTCATCACATCAAGTCTGAGTCCGAAGAAGCCCAGCACAGTGCACATGCTCTGTAGCACCGGCGAGGATCCTTAAATACTTTAGGTAAAAAAAAGAAGACATTTTAAACTCAAAATTTTGCCTGGACAACGCCTTTAGGCTATTCGGCACTCCTTTGATCCATTCCCCAAAATGGCGGCATGCCACATTCTGGCCATAAAATATCCAAAATTATCTGAACGACGGTGTTCCCGTATATCTAAAATACGGACTGTCTGCCAAGGGACAAATCACGGCAAAACTAGGATTACTTGACAATCACTATCAACATTGCACGTGGTACTAGAAGCAGACGATAAATACCGACAGTTGACAAAAATTTCGAGCGTTTCTGCGACGACGATACTAGCAGACAATATTAGCGACCGTTGACCAATTTCGAGACATTATAGACGATGAAAGCGATTAGCAATACTGTGTTCTTCCGATTGGAGGATTTAGCAGCGGTAGATGTCAGACTTGTCGGCATGCGCCAAACGCTATTAAATTCATCGCCGAGCGTATCTAGGTGCCTGGGACTCACGAGTACAGTAATTGGAGGAAGTTGCAGGAGATGCGGTAGCTGCCACTCGTAAGTCCCAGCCATCTAGTTTAGCCCCCATCCGCGCGTAGCGGTGCGGGTGATACGCTTGGCGGTGAGGCACACTCGCAGAAGCAGGTCGGCAAGCAACGTATCGCCGAGACCCTGTCAGAGCATTTGTTTCGTTATTCGGAGCCGGCACATATATTTTTAATAGAACTGACCCCGCATTAGGATATTTTTTGATATTTTATGGCTATAAATTGGCCAATTTAGCTCCTTTTTGAACGCCATCATATTAAAGCCGCTATTTTGGGGAACGATTCAAAGAAGCGCCGGCTATTCTTTTAGATTTTTAACTACCAAGGAAATCTTGGCTCTCCTCCAAACTTCTACCCCCGCAATATGGCGGCCTGAAATATATGTTCGGGGCTCAGTTCTATTAAAAATATGCTAGCTTCGTATAACAAAACAAATGCTCTAACAGGGTCTCAGCGATATGTTACTTGCGGACCTGTTTCTTATTGTTTCTGACTACCTGACAATTCTAAGAGACTCAACACTGCAGACCATAGTAGTAGCAGATGATAATAGCGACCGTTGACACTTTCCATTGTCGGACTTTCTGCCGAGGAACAAATATGTAAAATGGGGACTTGTTGGACTTTCTGCCAATGAACAAATCGCGGCAAATTTAGGATCGGCTTGGAAAAACAAAACAAATGCTCTAACAGGGTCTCAGCGATATGTTACATGCGAACCTGTTTCTGTGACTATGCCCACCGCCGAGCGTATCCCCCACGCAGATAGGGGCTAAACTAGATGGCTGGGACTCATGGGCAGCAGCTAACGCATCTCCTGCAACTTCCTCCAATTACTTTGCTCATGAGTCCCAGGCGCCTAGTTTAGCCCCCCATTCTCGCCGCGTGTAGCGGCGCGGGGATACACTCGGCAATGAGTTTAATCGCGTTTTGTGCATGCCGACAAGTCTGACATCTACCGCTGCTAAATCCTCAATCGGAAGAACAGTATTGCTAATCTGCATGGGAGCGCGTGGTCTACCCACCATATCGCTTTCATCGTCTGTAATGTCTTGAAATTGTCAACGGTCGCTTTTATCGTCTGCTAGTATCGTCTGCAGAAACTCTCGACATTGTCACTGGTTGCTTTTATCGTCTTGCTACTATCGTCTGCAGTGTTGCGTCTCTTGAAATTGTCAAGTAATCCTAGTTTTGCTGCAATTTGTTCCTTGGCAGAAAGTCCGCATTTTTCATTTAACTGAGCCCCGATCGGATATTTCAGGCCGCCATACTGCGGGGGTAGAAGTTCGGAGGAGAGCCGAAATTTTTTATGTTCGCAACAATGCACATGGGCGTCCGATCTCACTACCCAGAGACCAAGGGGAATTACTAGAAGTCCCACTTAGTAAGTATTAGCTGCCAGACAGATATAACCTGCACACTCCTTTCCTGTGTGGGCAAATAAAGATATAATAATAATTACTGGTACTGTATAATTATGTTTCCTGAGTGTTTCACTTTGATAACTTTAGCTTAACCCCTGGATGTACAAATGTTTTCATAACACTGAACTTTTTGTTCATTTAAAATAAAGTTTGTTTTTCTCCTTGCCACTTTTGTCTTTCTTTTTACGACTGAAAAAAGTAATGTTTGATTTTCAACTGCAGCAGACTGTGTTTTGAGCGTGAGAAGCTGGTTTTCACATCTGTCATCAACTCATTGTGTAACTGAGGCAAATCATTTCATCAGGAATGTACCGTCCTGACAAGGATCTCACATCAGGGGTAAGCATGCTGATGTCTTGTTTTTCGACTTGGTGTTCATAATACATTTTAGTGCACATTTCCCTGTGGGCTCCAGGACCCGATTTTTGGGGAAAAAGAAAAGACCCACAGCATCACTAACAAGCATGTCTTAGAAGGGACCTTATAAGGGGTTTGCAGAATTCAGATGTATTCTGTGAAATCATAGCCTTATTATAGACATGTGACAACTGCCCTTTTAAGGGGGAACACAAAAGAAAATTTCCACATTATTTGAGTTGACAGAACAACTATAGTGTCTTCAGAATGAATTATAAATGAATCAAGAATTGAAGTTACTGCGGTCGTGCACACGTCCTGTATATCTTACTCATTTTTTCTTTAAGGCTGTATGCTGTATTCCATTTTTGCATGGCTTTTCATTTGCCCATTTCTTTCTTCAGCATGGCTCTCTGTGGCAGTTGGTACCAGGGCGTTTTTGTTAGATGGTAATATTATCTCCCAAATGTGCATTATTGTTAAAAGAGTGTCACTATCATTATTTGTGTGATGTACTTTGTAAATGTCAGATTTTACTTTTTTTTCAAAGTGTCATATCTGGGATGTTTCCTTATTCTTCGGTTCATCATATTTTGTTAGTGCTCTGCTTTTGCCTAGTCATGACAGTAACTAAAGCTGTAACCTGACTGAAGACAAACCACTCAGGCATGCTTTCTCACTGAGTATGTTCAAGAGATGGGCAGGACCCAAATGACAATTGTTGGAGGGGACATATCTGAAAAAGAACAGTTTCAGGGACAGGGAATGCAGGTGCAAAAGAAAATTATTAAGCTGATAGGTTTGCAGGTTAAGGCTTCTGAATAGGGCATATGAGCCATGTACCAGGTTGATTTACTGAATGCTGTCCAAGAATTAAAAGATTTGCAAGAATCGAGTGATGACTTTGAATCTGTAGCGATGACCAGACTGGATGGCAAGATGTAATGTTGTGAATTCCCGGGGAAACCCCAGAGAGTTCCCGATGGGAAGAAAAAGGTCGGAGGACCCGTGAGAGAAGAGAAAAACGGGAGAAGTGAGTCTCGTGTGTCTCATGGTAAACGAAGTGAGAGACACAAGAAAAGCATGAGACGTGAACGGAAGACGTGAACCGAGAGACTGAAGTAAGACAGTTGAAGTTCTGCCCTGACTGAGAGAGGACGCGTGAATGAACGCCCGAGAAGAATAAATGATTTGTCAAGTGAACGTTATATTTCAATAGGAGGACTGAATGTTTTTCCATACGTCGTAATGTCAGATATCAGAGTCCATGAAGTATAGATGGATGGTTCGAGAGGCGCGGATAAATTCCTGTAGTGTGTGGGAAGTCCGTCCAGGTCGCTAGATTCAGCCAAGCAAGTCGAGCACGAGGAAGCATGAATGTATGTTTGCGATAACTGGCGATTCAACGAATAAAAGCAAAGAACTCAATATTCGTTCATGCTGTGTCGTTTCAACTCACTGTTCGTCTGAAAGCAATGTAAACAATACATGCCCCTAGATGAGCACATTACACAAGACAACAGCACTATGCTGGAAGCCAAAGAAGAATAATAAACCAATACAGAACTGGTGTCATCAGCCTCTACCTTCTGCAGAATATACAGAGTAGAGGATCCGAGCACTTATGTGCTGATGGGTTTGATGTACAGTGAGGATAATCTGTTGACTAACTTTTGCCCAATCAAAAGTTGCTTGTGCATTATTTGTCAAGTGTGTTATATTTTTTCACTCCAGGCATGGGATACAAATGTCAAGACTTTTTTTGTTTGTGTGTGTATGCTTTTCCAGATGCTGTCGTCACAGTCACCATCACAAATGCCGGCGTTTGGTGGCAACACAAATTTTATCAGTCAAGGTAGGGATTTGAATTTCTTCCCTTTGCTAACTGCTGACTTGACACTCTCTGAACATATCTCTCTATGTGAGCTCTGGGGCTCCATTTAGTGAAACAAAAAAAAAAAGAATAGACCTACTGCTACCCTAGAAAGCATGTCAAACGCAGTGACTAATTATGGGTATATCCGATTGCATCTGCCTGAGAGGCAAGAAACCCATGTAAGCCTGGCATGTAAAACAAGATCAGAGTACAAAAGCAGACAAACAACTAGAACCTTATGCCAGTTTACAGCTGGCAATGATAAGGGTAGGAACAAAGAAGAAGGGAATTTGATCTTCTGCCTTTTGCTGGCTGCTCACTTGACACTTACTGGACATGTCCGCTGTTTTGTTTTTAAAATTAGCCTTAGAACTTACTGTTTGTGAGTTCTTCATTTGGCTTACTTAATTTTCTGTAACATCCATGTATTATTATTTGACATTTTTGTGGATCCTCCATTATTTAACACTTTTATCTGTCTGTCTACGCACTCACCGACTATCTGTATAGCTCTGTGTGACAAACATCTACTCACTTGTCTATTGTGTGTATCCACAGAATTACCTGTCAGTTTATCCATCCACATATCTGTCTGTCTGCCACCCATCAGTCTGCCCACCATTACACTTGCTAAAAAATTCTTTCACCTATCTGTCTATCCACAAATTAAACCGTCTGGTCATCCATCCACCATGGTGTGGCAGTTATATGCTCACCTGTCGACCTGAAGGTTCAGATCAGCATCAAGGAAGGATTTTGTTTCCAAAATGGATCTTGGCTGCCAGGGTGACCCAGCTTAACACGGGTATAGGTAAAGTCCTGAGAAGTAAAGGTGGCTGGTGTAATGTTGACCATATCACCAGCTGACTGGTCTATAAAATACAGGTCTAGCACTATATACCCAATGTGCCTAAGCTTTTGGAAACGGGTCCCTTTTCACCAATCCATCTGTCAGTATATCTATCCACTTCTCCTCCCATCTATTTATTAACCCACCCAAAAAAACAACATGCATTTGCTAGAAGGAGGGTTCTTGTGCAGCTGTCTCATATATTGCCTATTCACTGTCACTACAGGTACACTACCGTTACCACAGAGGGCAATAGGTGGCAACCATTTCCGCAGCGGTAATAGCACTGGTCACATAACACCCACAAGTTTGAATGCTGGCTTCCAAATTGGACTCCAGCACCAACAGCAGCCGCAGCAGCAACAGCATTCTCCCAATAATCTAGCAGCCATCGGGCCTCGGAGTGTCCTAGGTGCACAGTCCAACCAGGCAAGCTTGGCCAGTCTACAGAAACGAACATTCAAGTAAGTCCCCTATAAACTGCCTTGCAGTGACTTGTCCGTGTACGTACTGGTGATTTCTTGATGCTTCTTTGTTTTCTGTCAGATATTGCTGAAACATTCAGTTAGCAGAGGCTAACATTTCAACACGCTTCAGACATCATAGACCGAATCTCAAAACTCCCAGCATTCTCAGACAAAGCTTGAACCATCTTCCAGACATATCTCAGACATCTCATAAATATTTAGACATATCTCAACCATTTTACAAATAGACGAAGTTATCTCCTCAATATCTTAGACCATGCCTCATTTACTATCTCCCCATCTGGGATAAAACCTGGTGCAATGAAATTGATCCTCTGGACTTTAACTTTTCATTTAGATCCCAAACATATTAGACCACATCCCAGCCATCTCTAAATATTTCAGTCCACATCCCAGCCATCTCTAAATATTTCAGTCCACATCCCAGCCATCTCTAAATATTTCAGACCACATCCCAGCCATCTCCAAAAATTTTAGACCACATCCCAGCCATCTCCAAAAATTTTAGACCACATCCCAGCCATCTCTAAATATTTCAGACCACATCCCAGCCATCTCTAAATATTTCAGACCACATCCCAGCCATTTCCATATACTTAAGGCACCTCAATCATCCCGAAGCATGTCAAGAAATCTCAACCGTCTCTGAATGTCTTAGACCACATCCCAACCATCTCCCAACTTGTTAGCCATCTTTGAACATCTTGACATGTCAGCCATCTCCCAACATCATAGACCACATCCCAGCCATGAATTGAACATCGCAGACATCTCATTCATCACAGAGACAAAAGCTTTTAAAGTTTAGAGGATCAGCTTCTTCGTAGGTTTGATCCATGGAACAGCTAAGCATCTGCCAAGAGTTGCACTAGTAAAATTTTAGCTTCGGCTTTGATCCCCAGTATTTCTGTTCAAGAAAAAATTTTCATCTATGAACCAAGTGATGCAGTCTGTGAATTTAACTCACTGTCTTTGGAGCTTAAGGCAAAAAGCTTAACCATTTAACTACAGAAACCCTACCTGCCAAATATAGGTATCTTAGCCTTCCCTGAAACATCTCTGATACTTTTTGGATGTAACATATTTAGTGATTAGTGGGGACTATCGACACAGCACAGTATGGTTGCTCTTATCACCTCCTCAGTAGCTTTACAAACAGCTGATAACATCTGCTCTTTGTTGATTAAACAAGTGTCTTGTGCACTTAGTGTAATGTTCGTGTCTGACAATTCCAGGTTGCACTCCTATCTCCGCCAACTTGGACAAGGATATTGAGTCGGCTTTTTGTCATGATCTTCTTTATAATGTGCATCTTGCATGGTATTAAAGACATTGCTCCTGTTGAGTGTCAGGCAGTCATAATAATCACCTTGCCTGCCACATAATCATATTTGTTATGCTGATTAAAGGTGGATATCTTTTTCATGTTTCTAATTTCAGCTCAGGGCCTATGCAGAATTTTGCATCCAGTTATGGTTTTGGTGGCACTCGAACAAGTAAGTATAGGAACTGTTGCATTTATTTATGTTTGTAGTGGCTGTATAGTTTCATCTCTGGAAGCACAGCAGAAATGGGGTTCATGTTTATGAATGTGTGCAGGCATGTACTGTTTATTGCCACATATCTACATACGAGTTTTCTCAATGTATCTATCACACTACCTGCTGGCATGGCACAGCCATGTTCATGGACTCTGCTGGCCTCTCTTTAGAAGGAACATTTATAAGGAATGGACACTTCATAGTTGGGACATAGAGAAAGCTTTTGCCACAAGACACTTAAGTTCATGTGCAGCAACATTTGAGTGAACATATTTTAAAAAGATGAGATCGTCGCCAGTTATATTTCTTCTTGGTTATACTTATACAGTATCATACTTGTACTTTTTTTTTTTTTTTTTACATTTCACAGCTAGAATTATTAATACTCTAATCTCACAATCTACTTGACTGAGTCATGTCAAGCAAATAATCAGCTAAACATTTCAGTGAACATATCTTTAAAAGACAAGATCATGGCCAGTTTTTTTCTGTCTTGGTTAAACTTGTATGAATGAGATCTTCCATATTTCACCAGCTAGAAAGCTAATACACCTGGTGGCGACATTAACAATCATTGTTTTAGACCCACTAAACTTTGGTCAGGATATCAATAGTTTATACACTATATATGCAGTTAAACTTAATTAACAATTACCAGGGTAGAAGAGGAAGGACTAAACAAGACTTTACAGTACCTCTACTCCCAGGGTAGAAGAGGAAAGCCTAAACAAGACTATACAGTACCTCTACATCGCTAGGTAGAAGAGAAAGACTAAACAAGACTATACAATACCTATACATCACAAGGTAGAAGAGAAAGACTAAACAAGACTATACAGTAACTCTACATCCCAGGGTAGAAGAGGAAGACTAAACAAGACTATACAATACCTATACATCACAAGGTAGAAGAGAAAGACTAAACAAGACTATACAGTAACTCTACATCCCAAGGTAAAAGAGAAAGACTATACAATACCTATACATCACAAGGTAGAAGAGAAAGACTAAACAAGACTTTACAGTACCTCTACATCCCAATGTAGAAGAGAAAGACTAAACAAGACTATACAGTACCTCTACATCCCAAGGCAGAAGAGAAAGACTAAACAAGACTTCACAGTACCTGTACATCCCAAGGTATAAGAGGAAAGACTAAACAAGAATTTGATACCTCTGCATCCCAGTTTAGAAGAGGAAAGAATACACAGGACTGTACACTATCTCTACATCCCAAGATAAAAGAAGAAAGACTAAACAAAACTAAGATACCTGTACATCCCAGGGTAGAAGAAGAGAGACTAAACAACACTGTAAAATATCTCTACATCCCAGGGTAGAAGAGAAAAAACTAAACAACAGTGTAAGGTATTTTTACATCCCAGGGTAGAAGAGGGAAGAATACACAAGACTATAAAGTACCTCTACATCCCAGTGAAGAAGAAGATGATCCAAACAAAATAAATATAAATTGTCTGTTATCACTGATTTGGGTAGATAGTCACTTTTAGGTATTGTGGTAAAATTGTATTCATAAGTTTATTTTCTGTTGACAGTGGACTCCCAGCCTGCCATAGACTTGTCAGATTTTCCCATACTCAGCAGCAGAACATCGACGACACCGAACCCTATGCCCACAACTCGTAACTACGGTGAGTCTTCCCTCTCCAGTTTTTGTTGCTGTAGTATTTAGCTGATCAGATTACAAATCACATCAAATATATCTGAAACCAATGCCAAAAAATTTAAAAAACTCAAACATTACAGCTGTTAGTCAAGGACTCTTTTACGCCAGTGATGTAGTAGGCATATAGTGCTAGACCTAGATTTTTATAGACCAGTCAGAAATCCCACTGGTAATGTGGTCAACACAGCTCCTGTCACATTTACTTCCCATTTCATTACCTGGTACCCTTTTAAGGCTTGGTCGACCTCAGAGCTAAGCTCAGTTGTTTAAAAAAAACAAATCCTTCTGTGAATGTGAGGAGGATAGTGCTAGACCTATGTTTTTGTAGTCCAGTACTCAGCGGGGGATGTGATCAGCATCATACCAGCTGCCTTCTTTTTCCAGGAAATAACCTGGTACTCATTTTAGGCTGGGTTTACCTGAGAGCCCAGGTTAAATGTCAAAAATCCACCTCGGTTCAATTGGAACCTTATATCTTAAGACCAGCAGCGATTTTAGCAACCCTTTTGAATGGAAGTTAGGCATGTAATCCCAGCACCTTCTACAGACCTACAGCTTTGATTTCAGCTGAACCCACACTTATAATGTTTATGGAATTTTTCTTTTTTACGGCATCTGTGGCTCACAGGTTATGAAGCAGTTTCTTAATTCCAACATACCAGGTTAAATTTGTAAGTGATTTGGCAACAGATCACTTTGCGTTGAAATGAGCAGCAGTAAACTACTGAAGGTTAAATTGCCTGGTAAAACTGTAAATGTAAACTATATGGGGCAGAAACATGGGTAACGAATAAAACAGTTACTTATAAACTACAAACAGTCGTTAGCTGGTGCCTGCGCAGAATAGAAGGAATTAAATGGTATGATAGAGAATTGCTAATGTAGTTTTGGGAGAGAACTAAGCAAATTCAAGTGAATGAAGAAGTGAAGAAAAGTCACTGTTGATAAAGAAAAACAAAACAAAATGGGCTTTACACTGGAACCCAGGGACATATAAATAAAGTCACACCAAAAACTCCTTGGGAAGGAAACTAGAGGGTGGGGTTTAAAAGCTGGTGAGGATATATAGTAAGCTTCATGCGATAGCAAAGGATAGGACAACTTGGCATGAGCTGGTGAAGAGTTTATGCTCCTTTGGGGATAAAGGGCAGAAGAGGAAATCTATAAACAACCAACTTATGCTGGGGTTGGTTATGTGAAGCATTTACAGCTCATTTGTTTTCTGTTGTTAATGAATATTATGCCTCCTTTCTCATCACTTGACAGAACACTGACTACCTCTTTATTAGAGTTGTAGGGAGGTTGTAATTTCATTAGCCATTTCCTGGCAGTCAGTCACTCTGTCTGTCCACTTTGTCCCTAGCATGCGTCTCAGAAACCACATCTCCACGGCCTGCAGGTTCTTCTTCATTTGTTCATTCACATTCTAGATTGCACAGCCATATAACAGCTTAATATTTCAGTTCCCCTTTTCTCATGTTTAAAGAGGGAGACCTGTTGCATAAAATACTTGTCATCTTTTAAAATGCCACTTTCGCCTGGCATATACTGCTCTTAATCTGACACACATCTTCCATCAGTGTTATAATTGTCCCCAGACTTGTCGTCCTGCTAGCACTTAAGCCTTCTGTTTCATAATGTAGCTGTATAAACAAAAACGTGTGGAATGAAGCCTAGATTGCTTAGCTACTTGACCTTTAACTCATTCAGTCCCAAGGAATGCTTCAGACATTCTACCTCGAAGCCAAAGGAATGCAAGATGCACTGATTTTACGTCTCTCTTGACTACCCCTTGGGCTTGTGAAGCTAAACTCCCTGTCACTCAGAGAGCTAAAATTATTGAACATTGCCTTGTGCTAGCGTCAGGACAGGTCAGACTAAGAGTGCCAGTCAGGTTTGAGAAATACGCCTTGACAGGGATATTCATCTTTACCCACAAGGCTGACAGACAAGCACTGTTGACTTCTGAGCCACTGCACCTTTCACTGATTTATGTAGAATTGGATTAATTCTTTTGGTCAGCCTGTAGTTATTTCAACTCTTATTTCTTGACAAGTTTTAGTTTAAAATCGTCAGCATTTAAGTCCAAAGAAGATAAAATGACACTCTGAGGTACAATGAGTGTAACTAACAGTTTGGAATAGGGAGTCAAAAATTGTCATCGCTGCATTCATTCTGGATATTCCCATATATGCTGCGGTCCCCTCCTTGGTAGCCACTGAAGAGTCTCCTTACTGATGATGCTGGTAGCAACCTGATTGAAAGTTTTCTCTGCCGATAGAAAATCGTCTAGACCCTCTATTCACATCCAGCTGTCATTCTCTCCAGATATAGACGCTGTGTCTTTTCTCTTGCAGTTTACTTAGTCCCAGAGAGCCTTTTCCTGAAACAGCTCACCTCCCCGTGAGGCAGCAGTTCAGATAATTGAGTTAACTAACATATCAACTGTTTGTGATAGAAGAAGAATAAGAAATGTGATCAGTCTTTGGACTGTTTCATAGCCATATGGCGAGTTGTACGGTACTGCCAGAATTAATATTGTTTGACTGCCTCCTGTTAACATGACTTCAGTTTTTTGCCACGAGATTTCTTTAACCCTTTTGCCCTGGAAATGCTTAAAAAAAACAGGTTATGAATCCTTTTGAAAAAAACAAACCTTTATACGCATATCACTAAATGCTTTAAAAATTCATTTGTGAAAAATAAAATGGAATACATTCCCCAGGGCCTTAAAAAACCCAGTATATACCGGGTGACTTATGCCGTGACCTTTATCACTGTGACTTTAGGAAAAATTTCTTTGGTGTCAGCCTTGTCTTTAAAAAAAAAAAGCAATTGCTTCATGGGTGCTCCCCCCCCCCCCCCACACACACACAGGTTTTTTCATGATCATTTTAGTAAATATATTTATATCATGACCTAAGCGTTAGTGTAGGTATGAAAATAGCCAGTGGCATTAACTAGATGTCTCTTAAACATACTGGTTAAACAGCAATCTCAGGGAATTGGAACCTGCCAGAAGTATCTGGTTTAAGGCTTCCCTGGGCAAAAGGGTTAAGGGTCCTGTTCATGAAAGTTGTGGCATCAGTGCTTGGAAATCTCTGCTGGGTTTGTGTGGTCAGATTGTGTAACTCCAGAGCAGGGATAACACGTATAAGGGGGAGAAATGTTTCCACTTGGGTAACTTCTCTACAACTTTTTGTTTTGTTTAGCTTTGATTATTAATTTAAAAAAAAATCACTTTTGTAACAACTTATTTTGATGCAAAATTCATGTACATTTTGACAAATTTACAAATGTACAACAGCAAACCAGCAGTAGAATTTCTGGAGCACCATATTTTTTGTATGTTGCTTGCCTCAACGTCTGCTTGTTTCTTTCACGAAGCTAATCCTGTATCATTCTCAGTGGGGATGGTGAGCAAGCCTGCACCAGACTCCACCCCAGAGTTCAACATCACACAGGAGGAGTTCCCTGCCCTTCCTGGCTCGCAAAGTAAGTGTTCTACCTTTGTGTTCACCTTAGAAAAGGTGTTTGACACTTGTGTTGTTAACAGCTAGGCTGTGATATCTGAAACTTTTTTTGGGGGCCAACAGATACACTTTTAGCAAACTCCTAATTAGTCACCTTTATTGACATGCTTATTGTGGAAAGGGGGGGGGGGCGCACTGGGTCTGTTCTTCATAATAAGGTCCCAGAAGCCACACACAGGAAAGCGTTTATCTGTATTAATGTAGGCTAAAACTTGTTTCTCTTCTTACTGGTGACTATGTTTGTCCACGACGGTCTTCTCCTGACGGGCTGTGCTGTTGACGTCATCGGGTCAGGCTAACGAAGCGGTTCATAAACTAGGTGCTGAGGCACCCTGAGGTGCTGTGAGCGTACGCCAGGGGTGCCGCTGCAATAATCCAGAAACGTCGGCTAAAATTTGTTAAATTATTAAAGAAGGCATGTGGATACTTAAAAGTTGAAATTTAAGTTGTCTTCCCTGGCCACTGTCGAAGATAGTTTATTTCTTGTTTGAGAACAGCTGCGTTCATGTATTGTTAGCCCAACCGGGTGACGTCAGCGGCCCGGCCCATCAGCTGGAGCTGGTCATGGTTTGTCTCTGTTGTGACAGTAACTTTCTACGACTGGTTACACCTGTCTCTGTTGTGACAGTACTTTCTACAGACTGGCTATATCTGTCTCTGTTGTGACAGTACTTTCTACAGACTGGCTACATCTGTCTCTGTTGTGACAGTACTTTCTACAGACTGGCTACATCTGTCTCTGTTGTGACAGTACTTTCTACAGACTGGCTACATCTGTCTCTGTTGTGACTTAACTTTCTACAGACTGGCTACATCTGTCTCTGTTGTGACTTAACTTTCTACAGACTGGCTACATCTGTCTCTGTTGTGACAGTACTTTCTACAGACTGGCTACATCTGTCTCTGTTGTGACAGTAACTTTCCACAGACTGGCTACATCTGTCTCTGTTGTGACTTAACTTTCTACAGACTGGCTACATCTGTCTCTGTTGTGATAGTACTTTCTACAGACTGGCTACATCTGTCTCTGTTGTGACAGTACTTTCTACAGACTGGCTACATCTGTCTCTGTTGTGACAGTAACTTTCCACAGACTGGCTACATCTGTCTCTGTTGTGACAGTACTTTCTACTGACTGGCTACATCTGTCTCTGTTGTGACAGTACTTTCTACAGACTGGCTACATCTGTCTCTGTTGTGACAGTACTTTCTACAGACTGGCTACATCTGTCTCTGTTGTGACTGTACTTTCTGCTGACTGTATTTGTCTCTGTTGTGACTGTACTTTCTCTACTGACTATATTTGTCTCTGTTGTGACTGTACTTTCTCTACTGACGGACTATATTTGTCTTTGTTGGGACAGTAGTGTTACGCTTGTCTCTGTTGTCAGTACTCTCTCTGCTCACAGGCGGTACGTGTCTCACATTTTTTTTTGTTTAAATATTTGGCATTCAGTGGATGATGCCACCTTGCTGACCGCCTTCAATTTGTAGGAGAATGGAATACCTGGTACACTATTTAAGCTGGGTCAATCTGGCAGTCAAGGTCAGTTTTGAAAAACAAAATCCACTGAATGAATCCCAAGACCTTCAGGCCTTGAGAAGTCTCATGCTTTTTGATTAAAAATGCATTCATCTCTAAATCTGCTGTAAAAACACCGGGCAATTACGTCCACAGTTTAAAACAAATATCAAATGGCCAGAGAGAATCAAGACGTACATTTTCTGGGATTGCTAACTAGGACAACAAATGCATGCATTAGTCAGAAGATATGTTGGCTGAAAGGCGCAAATATTACAGCCATACTATAAATGGATACAGTGCATTGACATCTTTGGATGAACGCAGAAGATGTATATTTTGATGGTCACTATTTTGTTAATTAAGATATATGTGTAATTTTTTCAGAATATGTGATGAATGTCTCTTTCCTTTCCTCAGATCCCCCAGCACAGTCCGGGGAATTGAGAAATGTGAGTTGCTTAATGTTGCATTTCCTGCTTTTATGACTTGGTGTTGTCTTTGTGGTTTGTGTCAGGAGATGTTTGTGCCAGTACAGTCAAGGAAAGTGAGAAGTGTCAGTCGCTTACATGATGCACATCCTGCTTACATCACTTAGTGTCATCTGTGTGGTTTGTTCTTGCATTTTTAGTGCCAGAAGATGTGTTGAGTGGGGTCTGTTTTTATGTGTGTTGTTAGTTTAACAGGGTAGTTTTAGAAGGAAAGAGAGAGAGAGTGAAGGAGTTAAAAAAAAAAAAAAGAGGAGAAAAAAAAAAGACTAAAGAGTTAACGTCTTTCCCTGATTGGGGAATGCCAGACTTTTTTCAAAAATGACAGTGAATTCCAGGTCAGCCCAGCCTTAAATAGGTACCAGGTAAAGTCCTGGGAAGTAAAGGGGCCGGCGTGATGTTGACCACATCAGCTACAGAGTGCCGATTGATCTATAAAATACAGGTCTAGCACTGTATGCCCAATGCACCTAGAGGAGTGAAAAGGGGTCCTGTACTTTCTTACCAACGTAGATACTCCTTATAGTATATGTACCTTCAGTCAACACGTATTACAATGTATGCTTTATACAACCAATCAGCATCATGGCACAAGGGTAGTAATTCATAAGTGCTGCGTTCTACTTTCAACTCAAGCCTGAATCCGAAGAACCTCAGCGCAGTGCACAAACTCTGTGGCACCGGCAAGGATCCTGATATACTTTAAGTAGATTTATAACCGAAAAATGTTGCCCTGGCAGCACCGTTAGGCTACCCTTTTTGATTTTCAACTGCCACATGATTTTTTTAAACGTTCGCGGCAATACACACGGGCGTCTGATCTTACTAGCCAGAGACCAGGGAGAAATTACTAAAAACCCCAGCCTTCACCGGTGTGTGAACCTGGGATCTCCAGCACTCGAGGTTGACGCCATGCCTCGAGACTACTCAGCGCATGCCCCCCCCCCCCTCTCTTTTTTTTTTTTTTACAATTACAGTAAATAACTTATAAATGTGACTGTTTACTTGAGTTCTTACACCATAAAAGTTATGCCTTTCAAAATTGCTTATGTTCTCCCCCACCCAAAGGGTTTCTAGACAGAAATGGTTAACGATATATCCACTATATCTCAAGTCTGTACTTCTGTCCTATACTTCTGTAAATGCTGACCATGAACTGTGAATGTATTTCTGAAGCAATCTTCATCACCATATCCTAATAAATATCTGAAACACCGTAGTCATATTCTGATGATATTTTCTATACTCGTCTGAAAGGGCAATGGTGCGACAGTAGGTGCTGACCTTTTATCCAACAGAGATGGGTTCAAGGATGGGAAACAGCTCATGCAGACGAAAAGAGGAATACAGACACATCCTGATGGTAATTATGTATATAAGGAAAGCAAGAGAGTCCGTGGGGGGGGGGGGGGGGGGGGGGGGGGGGGGGGGGTGGGGGGGGGGGACTACTAAATGAAAATTTGTGCATTAAAATTTACACCTAAAGTATCAAACCTTTGTTATATTTTGTATTCTCTAATGGTCACATCTTTTGTTGTTATATTTTGTACCCTGTAGGGATGACACCTTTTATTATATTTCATATTCTCTAGGGATCACACCTTTTGTGTTGTATTTCACATTCTCTCGGATTGCATCTTTTCTTTCATATATTCACATTTTCTGTGGATTAGATCTTTGCTGGTTATATTTCATATTCTCTTGGGATCAGATCTTGTCTTATTTTTCAGTCTCTGTGGATCAGATTGTCACAGTTGTATCATTGGCACTGCATGAAAGCCACCCAAGTGCTAAATCTCTTTTTTCTTGTTGTTTTTGAGAAAATCATATTTGAACATTGAGATCCCTGAAATATGTCGTTGCATGAAAAATAATACTTCATTTTGTTTTTCTTTAACATTAAGTGACAAAGAGCCTTGAAGATGCACTTAGGTGGAAATTGTCAAGATTGGAGTTGGGCGACTTTTTTCTTGTTGTGGTTTTTCTAATCAATTTACGTCTTGTTGAAACCAGCGCAAGGTCCGCAGCTGGGATGGAACCCGGCATTAGGAAGATCGCTCGCAACCTCTAAGCCACAGGCTCCGACTTTGTCATAGTACTCTTCTTCTTCTTCTTCGCGTTCACCAGCTGTACACTCTGGCGGAAAGTTCTGGTTGCTCGTCCACTACTTAACTGCAGTCCTGCTCCAGAACCTGAGTGTTGCATGTGCATCAGTTTTACAGATCTCATTCTCTTGAATACAGACTGTTGGTTCCTTGCCTCTCCGGCAGATGCACTCCAACTTCAAAGGAAGCTCCCCAATTAGTCGACTCTTACGACATGCTTTTGGGGAGGCAGTGGGTCTGTTCTTGTTTTCCCCACAATGGGGCCCCGGAACCCACACGGGCGGTCATATTACTTTTTTTTTTTTTTTCAGTAGTGGTTGCACGTAATGAATTTAACTTTTTACACTGTCTGTCCCTAAGCATAATATAAAATTTGCTGACTGAATGAATGCTTGTACTGCTCTCAACCCACTTGTAATAAATAAAATAGATCCCGTGTACTTATACTTGTAACGCTATGTCTGTCTGCAGGTATGATATCAAATATACCCCCTGGTATGGTGATGGACCAGTTTGGAATTGTAGGCCTGTTGTCTTTCATTCGTGCAGCAGATCAGGATGCGAACATGGTAGCCCTTGCGCCAGGCATTGACCTCACAACGTTGGGGTTAAATCTCAACTCTCCAGAGTATGTACTACTTAGAGAATTTGCCTTTTTTTTTCCTGTGTTTGGTTTTGGTTTGAACCCATTTCCCGTGTGGGTTTCATGGCCCCTTGAGGGGAGGGGGGTGTTTAAAATCACCTAAAAAGCATATTTTACATTGAATAGCATGAAAGGTGACTAATGGGGGGGGGGGGGGGGGGGGGGGGGGGGGGTTCCTTTGAAATAGGAGTGAATCTGCCTGAGAGGGGAGGAACCATGTCTATATACAATAAGCACATAGAGTCCACAACACACAGAAAAATGCACACCAAAAAAACGGCACAAGCAGCACACAAAACTGAAAACAGCAGCGCAAAACTGCACAGCAAATGAAATGCCAAATTACTACATTGTACAACACCCCCTGAAATATTAGACTGTCCCGTGACCTGTGGATTTCCTGTATTTGTGGTGAAATATTGGGAAAGTACTGAAAATGCTTAAAGTAAATTTTCAATAATTTTTTGGGTGAGCTCCCATGTCGATGACTCGCTAGACTGAAGTTTTGATAATTGAGCTGATTGTTAAGGCCAGCATGATGGAACAGTTTAAGGACATTGCATTTCTAGTTCAATGGGTTATTGTCTTGATTGTTTGAATGGAAAGTGAAGATATTTCTGAACATTTGAATACCAGGATACATTTTTTAAGATGCATATTTTGGGAAAACAAGGTTTTTGTGGCTGTTTGATTTTGATAGTTCAGAGTTTATTGTATCAGAATTTCTTGGTGCTAAATGGCAAACAACCACTGAATTTGCAGAATTGTATTTCACAGTTAGGCTGAGCTCTCATCCAAGATTATTTCAGAAAGTGTTTTAAAAAAAAAGACTTATTTATCTTGATGTCATAAGATTTTTCGGCATTTTTTTTGGCACCAACGTACAGCCACATAATGATGAGCACAATAAGATTAGGCTGTATTTTATCTTGAAATTTGTTCTCTAATCATTTGGTGCAAAAATAGCAAAATATAATATTTGTGAAGAATAGTCGTGAAGCTTTGGCATTTTTAGCACACACTAAAATATGTGGTGTCTGGGAGTGTGCAGGGGCTAACAGGCTTAGTCAGTGGGTTAAGCTTCTTAGTCGTCATTCAGTCACTCCTGTTTTCATCTGTTTTGCATGTTTTTAAACATTAATATGTCTTTGTGTACCATGTCAAGAAATCTATAGTTTATTTATGTCTCTTGTGCAGAAACTTGTACAGCATGTTTCAGTCACCATTTGCAGAAACAGCGTGCAGGCCACAAGATATAGGTAAGTGAATTCTTGGGCTTCACACAGGATAATTAGTGGACATCTCTTGTGATGTCCTCAGATCCTATCGCTTGCAGTTAGAGCAGACCTTGAAAATTGGAACCACTTGTTGTCCCTGTGTGGCTTATGTGAACTTGGGAAGGGAAAGGGGGGGGGGGGGGAGACCTTCCTCTTTCCCTCTCCAAAAAGCATGTTGTAAAATATTAGTATGCGTACAAATAAACCGAATATATAAAACATGTGCATGCTGAACTCAAGCTATGGAGCAAAAGGACAGTGCAGTAGTGGATGAACTACCATAACTTTCTACCAGAGTTTACCACCAGGGAACACCAGATAGAAGAAAAAAAGGAAGAGGAAATGTACTGGGAATGGGAACAGAACAAGTTAGTAAAGAAAGGTGACATACTTTGTGAAATATGTCCATCTAAACATAACTAAGGAATTTATGTTTGAATGTATGTCAAACTGTATATCAGTATCAGTTTTGGAGGTTCTTCTGCATATCCAAATACATGGAAAAGCACCCTTTTCACACCAGCAAATGTTGCTAAATTTGTTTCAGTCATAGACTAGTTGCCACTCTATAGTTGATGTGATCAACATATGCCAGACTTGTTGATTTCCCAGGACATTTACTGGTATCCATTCTAGTCTAGGTCAGCCAAGGAGTCAAGGTTAATTATACAAATTCTGTCTTTGTGCAGACCTGAACCCAAGAAATTTTGGAGAGAAGACAAATGTCTAGTCACTGCTTTACTGTGGCTGCAGTTATGCCTGTATGTTTCACACCTTTTTAGATGGGAACAGCACGGGCTAGGATCTTTGCCCTGATGTTAGAAACAAGATTGACGGGGACTGATGTTGCTGCTCCAGTTCTGCTAATGTTCCCTAATGTTGTTTCTTCTAAATTTGTTTGCTCTGAGAAAACAAACAAAAGATACAACGGTGCCCATGCAGCAAAACATGCACGTACCAAAATAAATACAATTATTTGAAATACAGTAGTACCTCGGAAAATTGAACATAATCCCTTCCGAGACAGCGTTTGAATTCCAAGTTGTTCAAGTTCTGGCAATTTTCGCCATTTAAAATAATGAAACTAATTTAGTCTGTTCTAGTGTCCCACAAACTGTAAATATAGTAACATACCATGATCATATTTGATTACAAACGTAAAGAAATAAAAATGATTTAAAAACTGTTTTTTCTGTACATTGATCAAAATAGTGACGTAGGAGGAGGAGGGGGTATTTAAGGAGATTATTGTTTGTAAGGACAGGAGACAATCAGGAATTCTTTTTAGTGCTTCATACCATTGTTGTTCACCACTTGTAGACGGTTTAGGGTCACTAGTTATTTTTGTGTGTGTTTGTGGACAGCCAGCAGTCCAAAGTGCTCTGGTGTTGTTACCGTTTTTAATTTTCCTAAAATGTTCAATATTTGTATCATTAAATAAATTAACACACCTGCTAACTAGGCCTCTATCATGGTGCCATCTCTCAACAGCTGTTTGCGCTTTTTACCTCATGGTCTAAAGATCTTTGATTTCAACAGCACTAATCCTTTCAGCTTCCTCCACTTCCTCCCACTTCCTGTGTGTTTCCCTGTGTGTGTTTATATGTAAGTGTGTGTGTGTGTCTGTATTTTTGTCTGAGTGTGTGTGTCTCTGTGGGAGTGTCCGTGTGTGCATGTGTGTGTCTCCATGCATGACTGTATTTATGACTGTATGTTTGTATGTGTGTATGCCTGTAATATGTATGTATGTTTGTGTGTATGTATGCCTGTGTGTATGTGTGTATGCATGTTTGTTTGTATGTATGTTTGTATCTTTGTATGTATGTTTGTGTGTGTGTGTATGCCTGTGTGTATGTGTGTATGCATGTTTGTTTGTATGTATGTGTGTATGTATGTATGTATGTGTGTATGTATGCAATGTATGCATGTATGTGTGTGTAAGTGAGTGTGTGAGCGTGTATATGTGGGTGTATGTATGCACTCGCTGGTTTTTGCATGCACTTTACAACTCATGCTTTTGTGTTCTTTTATAATATTCATAATATGCATATCATCATATGAACATAACATGCTTTATTAGTAAAATACAATTGCTGTGTGAAAGATGGTTGACTGGAAGGGCCGAATGTAAGAGGGGCCTGCGTGCCCAATTTGTGACCCTTTGAAAATAAAGTTCGTTCGTTCGTTCGCTTCCTAGGATAAATTTTTCAGCAGTTTCTTCCTTTTCCTGATGGTGGTGGTTCTAAAGCTCTTGTATTTTCCGCTCAGTCGTGTGATCCGCACATGCCAAGGGTTTGGTTTCCTTGGCAGTATCTGAGTCCCGAGGCACAATTTACTTTTAAAATTTCATTCAAATTGTAAGTTTTTTGAGTTTTGAGGCTTTCCAATTCCGAGGTACCACTGTATTCTGTTCTGCATGTAGGTTTATATATTTATTTATATAGATATTTTAGGTGATCCCGTTTACTTTGGTACTTGCATGTTTTGCTGCATGGGCACTGGTGTATCCGTTGTTTTCCGTTGTCTTCCTATTTTTCAGATTACCATGTTCCAGCTGAGTATTTGACCAACATGTTCATTAGGGAAAAGGTTAGTGTTGCACTGTCATTTCCACATGGGCCCAGTTCTTCCTTATTGCTTTGCCCTAACCTTGTTTTGGATAGCTTCCTCCTTTTTTTTTTCTAATTTCTTTTTCCTGTTTTTTTTTTCTTTTTTAAAACTTAGCCCCTCCCTTTTTTCTCCTGCCTCATCTTCTTCTTCATCTTCTCCTTGCTTTGCCTCTTTTTTTCTAAAATCTTTTTTATTGTTGTTGTTCATGTCACATATTGTAATATTCCAATCATCACATCACATATTATATAATTCCCATCATCACATCACATATTGTAAAATTCCCATCATCACATACCATGTTGTGTAATTCCCATCATCACAGGCCATGTTGTATAATTCCCATCATCACAGGCCATGTTGTATAATTCCCATCATCACATCACATGTTGTATAATTCCCATCATCACATCACATGTTATATAATTCCCATCATCAAATCACATGTTGTATAATTCCATCATCACATGCCATGTTGTATAAGTCCCATCATCACAGGCCATGTTGTATAATTCCCATCATTGCATGCCATGTTGTATAATTCCCATCATCACATCACATGTTATGTCCCATATCTACAGCTGGCACCTATCAAGTTGAACCGATACAATGATGACCTGCTGTTCTACTTGTTCTACACAAATGGAGGCGATGTTCTACAGCTGGCAGCTGCTGCTGAGCTGTGAGTGATGTTGTCATAGACTGTTGTTGCTATAAGCTGTGGTAGCTGTTGCAATATTCTATTGTTGCTATAAGCTGTGGTAGCTGTTGCAATATTCTATTGTTGCTATAAGCTGTGGTAGCTGTTACAATATTCTATTGTTGCTATAAGCTGTGGTAGCTGTTACAATATTCTATTGTTGCTATAAGCTGTGGTAGCTGTTGCAATATTCTATTGTTGCTATAAGCTGTGGTAGCTGTTACAATATTCTATTGTTGCTATAAGCTGTGGTAGCTGTTGCAATATTCTATTGTTGCTATAAGCTGTGGTAGCTGTTACAATATTCTATTGTTGCTATAAGCTGTGGTAGCTGTTACAATATTCTATTGTTGCTATAAGCTGTGGTAGCTGTTACAATATTCTATTGTTGCTATAAGCTGTGGTAGCTGTTACAATATTCTATTGTTGCTATAAGCTGTGGTAGCTGTTACAATATTCTATTGTTGCTATAAGCTGTGGTAGCTGTTACAATATTCTATTGTTGCTAAACTGTTCATAGATTTGAAGAAACACAATCTTTTGTGTAAATGTAGTAGCAGTTTTCAGCAGTATTTTTCCTTCGAGCACATAATGTGTCTGCCTGAGAGGCAAAAAACCAACAGTCTGCATACAGATAAGTCAGATCTATAACATGGATGTGCACACCAAACTCAAGTTCTGGAACAGGATTAAGTCCAGAAGTGGACAAACAACCTGAACTTTCTACTAGAGTTAACAGCTATGAATGTTAACAAAAAAAAACAACGGTCTCCCCCGCCGTATATCATTTTTGAGGGTGGTGTTTATGCTGCTGACAGTGTAGCCGTGTAGCGTATGCTTTATTCTGGAGCTAATTCCCAAATTTTTATAAAACGTGACAATTTTTATGTGTGTGTTTTTTTTGGGTGGGGGAGTACCAGCTGGATGGCCGCACCACACCTAACCAGCAGGACATATAGTCACCCTGTGTATAAGTCAACCCCTAGTTTTGGAATAAGTTTTGCAAGATGTTGACTACATCACCTATTGAGTCAAACTGGCCGGCAAGATGTTGACTACATCACCTGTTGAGTGCCAGCAAGATGTTGACTACATCACCTGTTGAGTCAAACTGACCTGCAAGATGTTGACTACATCACCTGTTGAGTGCCGGCAAGATGTTGACTACATCACCTGTTGAGTGCCAGCAAGATGTTGACTACATCACCTGTTGAGTGCCGGCAAGATGTTGACTTCATCACCTGTTGAGTGCCAGCAAGATGTTGACTACATCACCTTTTGAGTGCCGGCAAGATGTTGACTACATCACCTGTTGAGTGCCAGCAAGATGTTGACTACATCACCTGTTGAGTGCCAGCAAGATGTTGACAACATCACTTGTTGAGTGCCAGCAAGATGTTGACTACATCACCTGTTGAGTGCCAGCAAGATGTTGACTACATCACCTGTTGAGTGCCGGCAAGATGTTGACTACATCACCTGTTGAGTGCCAGCAAGATGTTGACTACATCACCTGTTGAGTGCCGGCAAGATGTTGACTACATCACCTGTTAAGTGCCGGCAAGATGTTGACTACATCACCTGTTGGGTGCCGGCAAGATTTTGACTACATCACCTGTTGAGTGCCGGCAAGATGTTGACTACATCACCTGTTGAGTGCCAGCAAGATGTTGACTACATCACCTGTTGAGTGCCAGCAAGATGTTGACTACATCACCTGTTGAGTGCTGGCAAGATGTTGACTACATCACCTGTTGAGTGCCAGCAAGATGTTGACTACATCACCTGTTGAGTGCTGGCAAGATGTTGACTACATCACCTGTTGAGTGCTGGCAAGATGTTGACTACATCACCTGTTGAGTGCCGGCAAGATGTTGACTACATTACCTGTTGAGTAAAACTGGCCAGCAAGATGTTGACTACATCACCTGTTGAGTGCCGGCAAGATGTTGACTACATCACCTGTTGAGTAAAACTGGCTGGCAAGTTGTTGACTACATCACCTGTTGAGTCAAACTGGCCGGCAAGATGTTGACTACATCACCTGTTGAGTCAAACTGGCTGGCAAGATGTTGACTACATCCCCTGTTGAGTCATACTGGCTGGCAAGATGTTGACTACATCACCTGTTGAGTGCCTATTGATCATATAAAAATATTGGTCTATCACTAAATGCTATGGCACTACAGGTTTGTTTTTTTTACGTCGATATGACAAAACTTGTTGGTCACACCTTGTGTATTGTTTGTTTGCACGGTAAAGGAGGTGGATAATATTTATCGTCTGTGACTGTTGACTTGTTTTGCAGGTACAACCGTGACTGGAGATATCACAAGGAAGAGAGGGTGTGGCTGACAAGAGCGCCAAATTGTGAGGTCTACAACAAAACAGCAACATCAGAGCGGTGCACCTATATTTTCTTTGACGCTACTCTGTGGCGGAAAACAACAAAAGACTTTTACCTGGAGTACGACAAGCTGGAAGAGAGGCCAGCGATACCAAACTATAACCTTATCCAGGTTGGGGGTGTTGGACACTAAGATTCTGGGATTGTTACAACCTCCAACAAATGTCACGCTTGAAGAACCTCATACTAACAGTTTTGGATATCAGCTGGTTTTTGTTTTCTCCCCTCATCATTTCGAGGACATCTGTCAGTGCTGGGAAAAATCTGGCAGCTGTGTTACAGTGAGTGTAGGACATAATTAGGGCACTTAGTATCAGCATCTGACGTAAAGCAGGTATCATGTCATTTATGTCCAGGTTTTGGTCAATTTGCGGACAAGCGTGACAGCATGATATGCTTATGGGGTGTGTTAAGCTGTGTGGTGGTTGGTGTGTGGAGTTGGGGTGTGTGATGTAAATAAGCAAATTTTTTTTTTTTTTGGTTTGTTTGTTTGCTTTGATGGTTATACCTTTTGAATGCCTGTAATTAATGTGTATATTTGTATGTGTGTGTGTTTGTAAGCTTTTATGACTAAAAGTGTTTGAATGGCTGTATTAACTTGTATGTATGTTTGAAAGCTTTGATGGCTATAAGTGTTGGATTGGAAAATATAAGTTCGAAAAGATAGTTAACTTTCACAAACTCACACATGAACAGGTTAGTTAGCTTTCACTTACAAACAGGTCAGCTAGCACTCACATATGAACAGATCAGTTAGCTTTCACACACTCACAAATGATCGTATCAGTTAGCCCTCATATATGAACAGGTCAGTTAACTTTCACATACTCACATATGAATAGGACAGATAAGTTTCATACATAAACATGTTACTTAATTCTTACAAGCACTCACACACAACTATCACTCACACACAACTATCACTCACACACACTCTTTCACACACATGGTCAGCCTTCTGAGGAGCTGTGGTTGAGTAATTAGGATGTTGACCTTATGTGTCACTGTGCATGCACTTGAAGGATGCAAGTTAATATCCCCCAGGAAGGTGAGGATAAAACCTGGGCAAATGCTCTGTATGAGTTTAGGATGGGTTAAAAACTGACACTATAGCAGGTAAATTCCCATAAGGGCTTTGTCCCCATCTTCAGCAACCAGTGCAGAGTTCCTGTTCTGATGGCACCAGTACATTACATATTGATACAAAGTGATTTCATGGCCAAAGAGAGCTGATGAACATCCATCTTGTAATTATATTCTTTTAAAACCAGGAGTCCCAAACATGGGAAAACAGCTGTGAGTTACTGTTGTTTATATTTTGATTATCTAGAATTTGGGTTTCAGAAAGTGATTTCCTAAGATAATTGTTGGAGGGAGTTGTTGTTTGGCTAAGTTGATTGAATTGCATATTTGATTCAGTTGCATGTTTGATTTAGTTGTTGTTTGACTGAGGTGTTTATTTGATTGAGTTGATATTTCATTGTAAATTGCCAGACCTGAGATGTTGAAATGAGACCTACAGGAGACAGTTTTGCTGAAAGTAAATGTTCAGCTGTTGAATTTTTTTCTGTGTTTTTGTGTGTTTAAAACTTCTTGTTTACCTGGTCACCAGAGTGCAGAGATTGCCATCCTTGTGTGGGGTCCAGGTTTCAGCCTTCAGGAAGGCAGAGGGAAGCCTGTGCATTGACTGTATCATATCGCAAGTTCTAAAATTGTCTGACTGAAGGAAAGAGAGCTAACCACCTTGCCTTATAAAACTCATCATCATCATCATCATGTAGCAGGTCTTTTGCAGAACATCGCTTTCATCACGGTCTGCCTGAAAGATAATCATGCGTCTTATAAAACTACTAATAGTAAAAGTTAAGACGGGTCAAAGGTAATGGTATCCTCCCTTCTGTCTCAAAAGCAAGCACACCACAAATTCACAACAGCATGACTGACTGCAGCACTAGCGTAAGCTTTGATAATTAATCTGCAGGCTTCCATGGCACTTCTAGCCAGAATAATCATCACTCTTTGTTCCTTCATGATTAGCATATCAGGTATATGATGCTAGAATCATTTTATAGACTGATCAGTACTAGGTAGGTAGGTGATGTGGTTAGCTTCACGCTGGCCGCCTTTACTACCAAAAATATTAACTGGTACCCATTTTATGCTAGGGGAGGGGGTGGGGACAAAGGTTTAAACAATGGGAAAACTGAAGTAATGGTAAATACGAAAAAAACATATCTAAAATGTGACAAGTCTGACGCAGAATAATAAGTCTGAATATTCAGGGACCCTGATAACAGTAGCTGGAAGGTGTATTCTTCTACTTCAACATTGCAAGCTTTTGGGGTTTATTGTTGCAGTTGCATGCTCGATACCTGCGAAAAGTATGATGTCAGTCATTACAAAGAACAACGTTTTTTTTAAGTGCTACTTTATTCATTGTCCCTAGACACACAGTTTAAAGCAGCGAGAGTCTTGCAGGCAGGGCCTCCCTAGAAAGTGAATTTTCTATGGACTGAATGAATATAATCAGTTGGATATGAGAGATAACACATGATGAAGACCTCAAACACGAGGATAATGGTTTTCACTTTGACTTACATGTGAAGTCTGGATACACCATCACGATAGGAAAACCATGCATGGGCTCAGTCGATACATTAACAAATACGAACTGGAGCCGTCAGCGCAAACACACTAAGGAACGGGCTTCGGAGAAGATTGAAGCACTTATGAGTATGCCCAATTGGCAGTGAAGATAATCTAGTGTTTGTATGTCTACCTGTATATTATCTTTCCACTGTCTTCTTGGTCTGTCTCATGCTTTTCTTACATTCAAAACGTTTTTGTGTCCCCAGGTTCTCTCTCTCTTTTACCCATCTATTTCTCTTTCTCATATCTCTCTCTCTCTCTCGTCTGCGATTCTCTGCATGCTATAAAATGCATTAAGAAGTGAAATGTGGGATAGCTCAAACAAAACCAACATTTAACTAGTAGAAGAATGTTCAATCCAATCTATCAATGGGAACCAAGATAATTAATGAGGATTATCTTAACAGCCTCTCAACAGGCCTGTAGACGCTTCCATCTCCTCCTCAGAAGCCCCACAAGTGTAAAATTACTGACGTCTGTTCTGTACTGATTGTCCTCTTGGTGAAAGGTTCATTTCTTGCAGCTACAGGTTTCATTCCAGTGTCCATCAATCTAGGCAGAGATACAGGGTCATGCCTTTTGCTGTATTCGTCTCTGTGATGCGTGCTGCGCTTGGTGCTGTATTGATAACGTCACTTATGTCCGGTGCAGCACCAGCTAAAAAGAATTCCAGAGGAATTTGACTAAAAGGCTCAACAAAATGGGCAAGCAGAAAAACGTGAACAAAACAACACAACGTAACGTTTCTGTCAGGCAGCCTTTTTCAAACACAAGTGAACTACACAAACGTAACAACGAGGAGAGGAATTCCTTGTTTAAGCTTGACTGCAGTCACCCCCATATTTTCACCTTATAGCAACTAAAATGTGTGCAAGATAGTGTGCACGCTCATTGCCTGAAACACCCGCATAACCCGCCACAAAGATTCAGGTTAGGCCAGCCACTCGTGAAGTGCTTACTGACCCAGTCCATTCTTGTCTAATGAATTTAGCCTGAATTTTCTTAAGCATATTCATTAACTAAATATGCATTGGAATGTAAACTCTTGAGTACCCGGCCGTTCTAGTGCCCTTGTCACAGTTATCGTTTCCACTGTAAGGCTACTAGTTATAACGGCAAAGACGCCAGTCATCTCCCTAATGGTTTTCCCTCTTAAGCTCACTGTGAATGCCCATACACTTTGCTTGCCACCATAAATAAAGTGAGAAGTAATACAGAAATAATTATGATGTACTAATGTAAATCGCTCACCAGATTCGTGAACAATTACGAGAGAGCTGCAAAGGCGTGGTTTAATGTTAGCACCACCACTGCGATACAGATATGTAATATTCTGGGCATTTTGGTATCATGAAATAGAACAACATTTGGGTCAGGCATTGTTGATACTATACGAGACGGAAGACCTGGCAGGCCTGAATGCTTGTTACTTGTTGTTCTTATCGACATCCTGGCATGTCGGCCCCAACCATTCTTCCTCCGTCCTCTGGGACAGCAGACATCTCAGTGTCTCCAGGCTCAGTGTAATCGATGAGAGCTGATTGTCTTATCTTCTTTCTTTCTGACAGGATTACTAAGTCTACACAGCATGGACTATAACAGAAGTTTTGGGCACCCACTTTGTATACCCTGCTTGGAGACAAGTGGACAGGGTCACGAATACCAGCATTAGAAAGAAGGTTGGAATGAGACCGTGCACGAGTTACATCGACAGACAGAATGAAGTCGTTTGACCATCTAGTAAGAATACAGCAAGGCGTGGAAAACGGAGCTTTACTGTACAGCTAGGCCAGACTGAAAAGAGTAAAGTCTTGGATGGCGCAGGCTGAAGACATATTTCGACATGTGTGCAGGCTTGATAAATTTAGGCGAGGAGAGGAGTGGGTCAAAGTGTCCGATCGGGTTTCAGATTTGTTGAGTCAAGAATTGACATCACGCCACTCAGGGGCATTTCCATGCATGCTCCGTCCTTGTCTTCAGCAGCCAGCGCAGAGTTCAAATACTATGGTACCGGTCACAATCTGGTTAAAAGTCCGTCTTGCCTTTCCTCTGAGTGCAGTGAACCAGCCAGTCCCTCTGGTTACACTCAGGTGCCTCATTCTCTCCAGGCCATAATAATATTTTTTTTTACTGATTCAAATGCTTGTTCCCAAAGGGCATTGACCACATCTGCCTTGTCATGTATCAATTCACCACCCAGTGGTGCGGATCGGGCCAGTCTGTCTGTTCATTACCCACCACGCTGGCATAGCCTGGAGAAATGACCCAAAGCTCACCACCAGTGACCTTTTCAGTGAAGCTAGCCACTCTGCTCGAAGCATTCCCGTCCTCACCTTTTTCAGCATGCTTTCAGAGTCTGTTACAATTACATGTGTATGCATTTTGTTCTCTAGCCACCGGAGAGCTGCAGTTACTGCCTCCACCTCCATTCTCATGCTAGATGTTGTGGTGTCATATGCTAGGCTGTCTTGCGCTAAAGATTTT